CAGGTGTTGAGGTCCGTGATTACAGTAACAAAAACAACTCGTTTCTGAAGGTTTTGCCATTTCAGTACCCATAAAGGGATGTGCTGCATGAGAGGATGAACGCTGATGATGATATCAGGCTTGTACTTCTTCAGTCCGGCCTCCACCTTTCTTCATTCATAAGCAAATCCTGAGTTAGTATGGCAACCATTTTTCTCTAATGCAAGAAAGCCTTCTTCCGAAAGTGACATCCTAATTAATTAACTGAAGTCCAACATCAGCAGAAGCTCAAATCCCACAAGCAAAAAATTGGAGAACAATGACAAGAATCAATATCTAAGCAATGAATGATACAACGAGATATGAGAATCGGGCCCAGACGTATACTTGTATGCAACTGATTGATTTGTGGTAAACATGAAAGATGTTTTCAGGTGGCTGCAGTTGTTTCTGCGTCATCAGAACCCATGAAGGAAAAGGAGAGGACACGGCAACAGTTCTTACTTGGCGTAGAAGGCTGCGATGGCAGCAAGGTAGAAGTTATGGACCCAACGAGGAGAGGTGCTGTGAAAGGCCACTTTCCACAGCTGTACATGTTTCACCATGAATTTGTACGACCTCTCCATGTCGTTCAGAGGCCATCCCGCATGCTCCATAAACAAATCTTTCACGAACACCTGCAGATGAAGAGGGGAAAGATAGATTCATAATACTGAGGTTGACGATTCCTTGAGATCGTATGTTAGTAGGAAAACATTTAATCAGACAAGAAATGACATTTAGTAGGAAAACATTGAGGTCGCAATCGCAAGAACATAGGCAACAACAGATCTGGCTAAAAGTGAGACCTTTGGTAAAGACCCGTTCACCTAATCGAAGAAGGAGGCATCTTTCAGCGGAAGGGGAGATCGAGGAAAGGGGAGAAACCACAAACCACCAAGAAGGAGAGCGAGTAATACCCTGTACTCATCGCCGAATTCGATACGGAAGGCCTCACGAATGGCCTCCGCGGAAGCCCGGTGACCCCCGCCTGTGTCGCTCATCAGGATGAGTACGTTCTTGGTCCGATCGGCCCCGATCTGGGCCAGCTCCATGGTGCCCTCCTCCTCCTCCCAAAAACCGGTGTCACCGTCGTCCCCGACAGCCGCGGCGCCGCCCCTGTCGCCGCCGCCGCCCCACGAGAGGCTCTTCCTCGTCCGCCGCCGCTGCTGCTGCTGGGTCTGGTTGCTCATCACGCTCTGGATCACCAGCTCACGTATGGACCGCCGCGCCGGCGCCACCGACGCCGCCATGGCTCCTCGCGCGTCCGCCCTTCTTCCGCCGACACTTTGAAGCTCTTCAGAGGTAGGGAGGCGAACAGACGAGAGGAACACGAAAGCAGGGTGACGTTTGTATAACGTGGTATGTTTGGAACAACGGTTGGGAATGGGGAAGAGAGAGAGAGAGAGAGAGAGAGAGAGAGAGTCGAAGAAGCCAAGCTGGCACAGCGGTCGTCAACAGTTGTAATATGCATATATTTTTTGACAGTTGTAATGGGTCCGAGTGAGGAGTGACGGGAGATTCTGCGAATGATTCTGAGAATTTAGCAGTTAATTAATGGGGTAACGTATGTGGGGAAATATTATAAACAACCCCTTGACATTTTCTGATTTATGAAGAAATCCTTCCTTCCACTTGACCATGTTTCTGCATTTGTTTTTAATAAAGGACTTATACTCTTCCATTTTGAGAATAATTTTTATTTTTGAAACCTTAGGAAACTATTATCATTAAGATTATTTGCAACTATGATTTTTAAAGAAATTTATTAATATAATTATTGACTTACTAATGATTATACAATCTAATTAACTTAAGATAAAAAAATATATTAAAAATATAATTAGATTTTAGTTAACGTCATTATCAGCCAATAGAAAAGTAATTTTGATAGGACAAACTTTCTTAATTATCAAAAATGCTCTCGTCCATATACAATAGTAAAATCGTCTAGCGATCTAGTCATTATAGAATAATAAGTTTCGTTCATCTTTTTATCGTTTATCTATCGATAATAGTGTTCGTGTTAAAAATACTAAAAGAAAGAGAATGAGAATTAGTTCTTTCTTATATATTTATAATGTCACTTCCTATATCGATGATATATTGCTTTACGATGTTTGAGGTATGATGTTCGGCTTTATAATGTATGTATAATTTATTTTAATTTATGATATTTAATTATTTAAATCATAGTATTACTTTTTTATTATAATATTATTTCTTATCGCTACATAGATCTATTCACTTTTGAATCAAAAAAATTATTTATTAAATGAGGATTGTGTACAATCTGTCCGTAAAATATATATGTGAAAGTCACAATCGCTAGAATTAGAAACCAAAGGTAAACTTACTATTGTTAGAATTAGTAATCTAAGAATAATCATCATCGATTAGGATATCAACCAAAAAAGGTAGGGAATATTTTCCCATCCTTGTATTATCTTTTATTCTCCATCTCCATCTAATTTCTCATTTAGATGAGGTGGGGCGAGGAACTCATGATTTTTTCATATTCTCTTAATTAATTTATATATTTTTTTTTATTTTTTAAAATAAAATTATTATTAAAATATTTGCGTTGACTCTAAATGGGGGCATACATGAAATCCTTATCTTATTATGGTCTCTTTTATGTAATTTGGGAATCGTTTGTGGTCAAAACGAGAATTGGCACTTGTAGAGGGGTCCAAACGCAATTTGGTCATGTCGCTTTCAGTTACAGGTGGCAGTCAGGTCATCCAGCCAACAGAACAGTTTTATTCTGTTGCTTTCATATCTTTCTGATGGACGGCGTAGCGGCCGATCCGGCCGATTCCTTAACCCGGACTTAGGGTTTCGCTTCTTCCCATTACCTCCGTGTGGGCCCCAGGCGATGCATCTGCCATTCTCATCCACGTGTCACGTTTGTGAGGTACACGTATGGGGTGAGAACGCGCTTGGGCCCGTGTTTTCTCACTCAGTCCACGAAGTCAAAATAACACGAACTCGAGTCGCAATTGCTTAGCGACGAAGGTGTCGTATCGGTAACCGCTCACACGTGCAGCGACCGCCGTGCTGTGTTAGGCTGTCTCGATGGACCACGATTAGTTGGAGGGATTCCCTGGTAATAATAATGTATGAGATATAGTGGCCATCGCAGATCCCAACAATCACACCTAATTGCCACCCGGTTGGTTCCATACTAACAGTCATCCGTGATGCAACTGATACGGAGTGATTCTTGGGATTATGAGGTGTCCCACATCACCTTAATTTATCATTCCCACTGCATTATCGAAACATTGTTAGCGATGTTAATGGCAAAAATATCGTTTTCGATATTTCGATCTGTACAAAGATCATGATCGGATGGAGTTTAGTAATTAACCTTAATTATCTTGACGTACTGATAGAGATTAAACCTTAATTGGAACGAATATTTCATGTATCAAATATCAAATTAGTTATCATGATAATATTTCTGATTAATTTATGTTAGTGTATGTTGCTTCGTACGCACCAGTCTTCTTCAATTGCCTGGCTGCATCCATCTCTACGGTCGTACGAAGGAGGTTTGCCGTGAGGGCTCGTGTTCCTATGCCATTGAATGTCGATGGCAGTGGCTGATGAACGACGACAACCTGAGCTGTAATCGTACATGTCGGGTACGGTCGTCCCATTGTCGCGTTAAGAAAGATGGCAGGCTACGCTCCCCAGCTTGCAGAAGGATACGGGAAGGTTGAGCCCGAGAAAGCTGAAGCTATTCGCTTGGCTCCACTGCAACCCACCGTATGATATTTATTGTATCAACCTTCTTACATTCGGAATGGATTCATCGCACCAAATTATTCGTTAGGATAATTGATAGCGATTTCAGATGAATTCTAAGACTTTTTTATTTTATTAATTGAATCGGATTTAGTTTTTGTTCTCTAGTTTTACGCAATAGACTCATTTGCTTCTGAGTTCTCAAATAGCTGCTTCATGAGCATTCCATGTAAGCGCCCAAATAGCTCCTTCTTCATGGCGTGCAAGGCCACGTCCAGCTTCTCGATCAGCTCGGTGGAGTTCCTGTTGTATATGAAGAGCCCATTGTAGAGCTCGCAGCTATCGCTGCAGGTGTTCTGTACCAGATTTAGCAGCGTTTCGTGACCTTTCGTGTTGATGGGCGTGGATTTAGCAGCGTTTCGACGCCGTCTTCGGAGTCGCCGATCCGGACTCTGTCGTAGACGAAAGGGAGGCCGGCCCAGCCGTGCTTGCCGCTCTCGGGGCCGAACATGGGATGCGTGCAAAGGATGTCAAAGTGCCGCGGCGGGCGCTGCAGAAAGAGGTTCCTCGGGAACTCCTTGACGGAGAGGACGTCAACAAAAAGCGTGCTGCGGTGAAAGCGTGGAGACAAGGACCACGTCCAGGTGCTGCTTGCAGAGTTCATGCTGGTCATCGAAGAATACAACGCCGAGAGAGCGGGCGGTGGCGGAGTGGTCGGTGCGCGAGTCGGCGAGCAACTCATGACCTTGGGCAGTGAAAGTGCGGCCAAGGAACTGGCCGAAGTTGCCGAAGCCAACGATAGCGATTTTGAGCTTGGTGCAGCGGTCGAGGAGCTTCAGCGGCTTCGCCTCGACATCCACCACCGGGTCAACGTCCCGGGCTTGGATGGACATGGCGGAACGGCGAATAGGGACGGCGATTGCACCATCGAGGAGGTGGCGGTGCACATGTAACCAAAAGAGTGTTTGTTGTTTTGCGTCAGTGAAGGAAAATATTCTTTGTTCATATGAATGGGTTTTACACTTTGCATATGAGTGTGAATAAAGCTAGGATTGTTCCATGGCACGACGAACCTGTTTAGCGAATTGCTCTTTGAATTTAGCAAAAGGATAGCCTACTGCATCAAAACTGAGTGCCTGCTTTCTTCAACTTGCTTCATGGACTATTTCAATAGTTCGACACATATTGCTCTAGCAGATCCGACCAACAGATGTTGCAGACTAAAAAGCGCGATCGACCAAAGCATCACTAATTCTATACAAACTAAGATGTACATTTATTATGTACAGCTTGAAAATGTTTGGACAGCTAGAAGTTGCATCGTATGATTTACACCGTGAATCTTAATCAACTACGTATATCATTACAGATACACTCAAATTAGTATGAGAACTTTATAATCATAAGGCTGTCGAAAACTCAAGGCTCCTTTTATTACGGGTAGAACCGCTTGTTAAACTTGCGACGGCTCCTCTCCCTGGCATAAATCACCCAGAAAACCAACGATAACATCACTGCAGCCGATACCATCACAAGACCAATGTAGACCAATTTGCTGTTCTGCTCAAGGCCAGGGCAATTGTTCTTGTGTATTGCAGTAAAGGTTTCTCGGACAAAACTGCAGTCTTCCAGTCCCGTGAGGAACGGCACATAGTAATATAATCCTCGGCTCACAGTTACATCTGCCATCATTTGGTTATAGATACTTGGAGTAACACGTCCGATGGTTGTACATACTTCGGACCCAGAGACAATAGCGGTTTGGCAAACGTATCCTTTCCATACCTGCAATGTAAAAGAAAGAATTTACATATCCAATTAGTTTTTCATATGGAATGTAACTACTACAAGTTAACAGTGACTGATACTAAAATTCCTTCTATATTGTTTCCTTCTTCCTTTGGGATAAAGTTTTCTGTGCTTCAAAATGATTAGGCTCTGCTATGATTGTTACTTTACCTGTGAGGCGTTGTTGAAATCCACTTCTCCAGAAATGCAAGTGCGGTTACTCAAGTCAGGTGTGTATGGATTGCAGAGTGTAGGCATCGGTGGACCAGACTGATTATAATACAGAGGCACCGAAGGAGGGAAGTTCCTGTTGGAAATATTGACGATCACCCCATTAACAATGCTAACTAGCTGGAAGGTAACTTCCCTGCTTCGATACAAAGACTCATTGGCAGTGGCAGCATCAACACAAGGAAGAATATCATCTAGAGTTGTATGTGCATGAGGATGGTCAACCCATTCACTCATTGCGACACATGTGTCAGCCACCACACTGGTAAAATCATAGAGAATGAAGCGATTAGTCACATAAAGCATATTAGGTGATGAGGATAGTCCAATATTTCATATAGAACAGGGTGTGACATATTTGATAGTCCTATGGTCAAAAGGAGCTTTAAGCTAAAAAGATCAAAAAAACAAGCCATAACTAGTACAGAAAGCAAACGGTAACACCTGATGAGATATGAAATGAGGCCTACATTATATGTTTCGTATTTTAATGCTAATGTTGCGACTCGACTCGTTGTTACCAATTGACTCGATAAACTTAAACCATTGGCCCAAAATGCTTGAGTCCAAATTAATAATAGTGCTCACGTCAAGCCTTGATAACCAATTTAGTAATAGTCCTCTCTCAATTCCCATGTGAGACTAAACTGGAGATGCTGCACATAAGGTCTAGCTCAATGGTGGCTCCATTTCGCCACATGTGTTCGGCCCTTAATAGGGTAAACCCTTTCCTACTGAAGCACTTCATCAGCCCCTCTTCATACTTGATGTCATTTGTCGTGATTCAACTCAATGAAATAATGGACTCTGTTTACTTGATGAACATGAACTAGTGGTCCAAAATACTTGAACACAAATCAATAAACCAATTGAATTTTTCTCTCATTTCCTATTTGGAACTTAACTAGGGAGGGGTATTACACCAATGATGACTCCAAAGTGCAATCGGTTGTTATGGCTTATACAATCAGCAATATGATAAGAAATTGGTTATAAGTGTCAAATAAGGTGCATGTACAAAGCAAAAATGAAAGGTTGCATCCATATGTGGATTCACAAATGAGTAAAAAAATTAAAAAGAAAAGAATTAGATACCAAAGTTGCTTTCTGTCATACATAAGAAGTTCTTATGTGATACTTTCAGCAGCGAAAGTCATTTATTGGAGAATAGATTAATCATTCAACTGTCCCAGTTGTTAATGCTATGATGTCCCATATTGCTCCATCCAACAAGAAAAGAGAAAGTTCAACATCACATTATTCTAATTAAAATGAACAAATTTTGCGGGTGTAGTAATCTAGTATAGTTATAGTAGAACTTACTTGTGTAAAATAAGAAAAACACCACACAAGATAAACGTGCCCGTCACTAGAATCCACCCAATAACCACCAAACTGCATACATTATCAGCAGAGAAGTAGATGAGAAATTTTGACTTTGGAATCAGGAAGTAACTATTAAAAGAGTATCCAAAAACTTTGCAGATAAGGGATTGAACAAGAGAGAAGTGACTAAAGGTGACATTATCTCACATACATGGAGACAAGCAACTGTAGTCCCAGTGCAGAGAATACTGCATGATAAAACACACTAAAATCAGCAAGTTGGCAAAACAAAATTCTTAAGATTTTGCTCCGAGTTTAGATGCTTACAGAGCCCAAGGAATGCCAAAAGGAGCATGACAGCAGCAACAATGATCAAATCCAATCTCCTGCAGGGCACAAAAATAAAGCAAAGTGAAAATGCATTACAAAATGAATCAAAATATGTAGTATTTCCCAACTACAAGCTCCACAATATGAAATTTACAATTCAAATACAGAAGGCAATTATCATACACGCTATCTAGTACACGGCTTATCTTCCTAGAATTGTCCGATGTCTGACTGGCAAGATTATTTGCTGAAGAGTTGACCTTTGCTTCAAGGGCATCAATTTCACCCTGGACATTAGTTGGAAGGAAGACTTGGTCGACTTTAACCTTCTTAGCTTCAGCCAAAGTCTCTGAGAAGTTCCTAAGGTTGTCCACGGTGAAGTTCGCCTGATCCACAACATAGTCCAGAGTTTTGTAAGTGCTGCTATGGAACTTCCCCTGACCTTGGTACAGAACCACGCATCCGACGCTGAGTAGATTTCAAAATTCAGTTTAAGAACTTCCAGGTCATGACAAACAACTCATATCACAATGCAACAATCAGAAAGCAAGAGAAAAAGAATGTCTTCCTACATTGCGGCACATGTGAATAGCATCAGCAGAATAAGCGAAAGGGCGTAGGCCGTGCGAGAATATGAGTAAGTCCGCCGGCGGCAACAGAAGTAACAGCAACAAATAAGTAACAAGGCCAACCCAAAACCCAGGAACCATGCCAAGGCGATGGCGAACAGGGGAGCAGCCGTAAAACCCACAGACTGCCATCAGAAACAAAGTAAATATAGGATTCAGTAACCATTAAGCAGCTGAAGGAGAACAGGTCTAAGAGAAGCTAAAGGGCTTACAGCCCAGTAGTGTTTTTCACTGATGTTCCAACCACCGGTGTAACGCTTGAATCCATTTAAAGGATCTTTTCTGTGTGTCCTCGCCGCAGCCAGGATGAAGGAGCTATTATCCACTGTAAGATTGCCGGGAGGTGGCACCTCGGCAACAAACCTCCTTGGTAGAACCAAGCCATCTTGAATCCCTGCACCTATTCAAACCACTCGCATCTTTAACACACAAAGACACTTCTCAAACAAAAAAAGACAGATTTTTTTGAATGGCGTCTTAAATACTAACTTAAAAAAGAAAAAAAATTACATAAAAATCATCTATTTTCTTCCTGTGCAAAAAGAGGGGGATTCTGCAGAACACAACAAGCTACTCCTAAACGAACCATGTTCTCTGGATGTGTAACACACAAATATATACTTTCCAATGGACTCTTGAACGCTGACAAGGAAAAAGTAATCTGTTCAAAAAGAATAAAAAGGGGCGCTAAGAGGGGGATTCTGCAGAAGATAAACCATTATTTCAGCATAAAAAAGAGGGCACATGCACAACAAATCTTCTCCTTGAGAACAGCGGTATCCCTGCAATAAAATTCAGCACCGTGCTGGGAAAACGAGATCGCAAAGAATATAATACCTGGTAAGGACGTTTTCTTGATCTCAAGAGAAGGGTGGCAGATCGAGTGAGGAAGGAAAAGGAGGACGACGATAGGGGACAGGAGGAGTGAAGCTGGAAATCTAGAGAATGCCATGGTCATCGGAGCTCGGTCACTCCCTTCCAGGGTGCTCGAAGTGTGGGGTTTTATGCAGGAATTCCTTCCCTTTCGAGCTCTTCCTGTTCGATTCTTTCCAGGGAGGTGGAAATTGGAAGGAAACAGACTACATACAAAAGATCATATGCAGCAACACCGCTCGTGGCTTTCCCCTTTAATTACGGAACACCCGTCACCCATAAGCGTTTCATGTTACACATCTGCCACCAGACTTTCCACGAAACATCATATTTGCCACTGTTCTCGTCTTACAGAAAAAATTGGATCAGTAAGTTTGTGCATAGGATATCATGCATTGATGTTTCTCTCATGCATTGATCTTTCTCTTTCTATATCCACTTCTCTCATTTTATTTCTTATTTTTCTTCTTATGCATGAGATATCGTTCCCAGCAATAAAAGAAAGATATTACCAACAGTTGAGACAAAATTTAGGTAAAGTTTTCACAAAGCAACATAGTGTTGATCAACATTGTATTAGGAAAAAAAAACAAGTGATGTGATAGTGATCGAAGGAGTCAGCATTGGAGATGTGACAGCAGTATATTCTCTTCACGACATATCTTGTCATATGTTGGGACACCTAAATCTTCCGATGAAGCCATTTCATCGTCACTCAACAAGTCGACAGGAGTAGGATGGCACAGCTGAGTGCCGAATCCAACGGAATAAGACACCTATTTTGCCACATTGTGGATTTAATTTAATATAAAGAGAAATCTATGGCGTGATGATCTAAGATAAGGTCGAGCCAGTTTGCCACCAACAATTGTCTCTTCCTATTGCGTGATCTCGAAAGCTACAGCCGTGCTTTTACTTTGTTTTTGTTTGAGTGGTCTCTTGTCATCTTGGATTTCATAGCAATGAAAGATCTCAGGCAAAAATCCCATCGCATCTTTCTTCCCAAGATTTTGGCATAATGTATGTAATGTGACCGAAGAAGCACAAAAGCCTCCAACATCATCAGCATTATAGCGCGTATTTCCTTCTTTTTCTGTGAGTATATTTAGACAACCAATGATAGACGTTTCCTTGCATGAATGATATATTAGTTCACACTACTCCAGCAATTGGTTTGATCGAGATTTATAATGAAATCGATGATACCAATGATCTTTTTTTTATAGCGAATAATTCAGAAACGCACTAACTCAAAAGGGTATTATTGTCACTAAATCACAAAGAAAACGACAGAGATTTTGTTCCTTCCGCTCCCGAGAAGGGTCTTCCGGGAAATATGATCTGGTTTGGATTTGGTTTGCTGGAGACAGCGAGAGAGCGGCGCGAAAACGACGAAGGATTCGGGATCCTCGTTACTCCACCACATATAAGCCATCTCTTCGCCTTCGTTTCCGTTGGTGGACAATGCGAGACCGGCCGTTGAAACCAGTCAGCTCTTGCCCACCTCCAATGGCTAATCGATGATTCTCACACAGCGGATCCAAACGCGGGAAGCCAAGCCAAGCCAATCCGATACCAGGGGAAACGGGCACTTCCATGTGGGTCCCTGCGGCTTGTGAACGGCATTCGTGGGCCCGCCGCTTTGTCGCCACGTGAATCGGTGAGGTTCCGGAAAAGGAGTTGCTGCAACTTGTACCCGATCCGGGGCAACTAGACACGTTGCAGGCCGCGATTCACGTTTCGCAAAACACGTGACACGAAACGATCCGCGCTGCAGAGGCGCGGCACGTGGCGATATCTATGTGGCATTTGTAGGTTTCTTCGTCAAGTTTGCCGACAGCCGAACCGCCACGCATTATCGATGACGTATGTCGGATACCACTCTACGATTTGCAACTGAAAAGCGCACGCTTATTATTTTCCCAATCCCAAACAAGGTAGGCAGGGGGGCTACAAAATGAATAGATTAATACACTTAGATTCGGGTTGTACGACGTGCTCAGCCACGTTGGAGGTTCTCTCTCACGCACCAAATCCAAATGGGGGCAAGAAGACAAGAACCTGGGTGATCATTTGAACGGTGGGCTTTGTTTTACCATCTTATGAATGATTATTAAACATTTGGTTGGGACTATCGATCTAATGAATGGATAATGGAGGAGGTTTTGTGGGATTCATCGACTTACGAGTAGGCATGTCGATCTGACCAAAGCTTTTAAATTTAATGTTCATAAAGACTCTATAATGTTTCTAGGTTACACATATGTAAAGCACTTATCATGACAACAGGGACCTGAAATATACAGACGTATAATATTTAGCATTACAACAAAAACAAACTGATACCAACTTATACTATCCCGTATCAATAAAGATATATTGTCATCCCGTAATGAAATTTCAAAATTTCTTAGAAAACCACTGAACCAAATTCACATACATATTTAAATGTCCTGTACTCTGAATGTTCATCAGATAAGTTTCCTCACTCTTTTAAGTAGTTCAACAACAAAAACTTGATGTCATAACAATTATAAAACACTTAATAAGAGGACATTCCAAAACTCCGCTAATTTGATAAAGTTTGTTCCTCAATGGTATATCTCTTTCTAATTAAAACTTCCAACTGCCAGTATCTTATTTTTCAAGCCTTATCCTCATACAGCTGCAATAGCTTTTTTGCTGCTGCCTCCGCTTGTTGTCCCAGCTGGTATAACTTTCAAAACATTGAACCTCACAGTCTTTGCCAATAGCCTATACAAAATTAATAATCATCACTTCAGTGAGTGTTGTAAGAGCAAGCAGCATTGACTATCATAATATTTTTACCAGGCCAATGCAACTGGTTAAAAAAAGCATCTTATTTTCTTCATACAAAAATATCTTTTCGGTGTTTGATCATTATCTTTCTTGCCTTATGTGGGTTGACAGGATGTAGGATCACATCATACAAGTTTTAGAATGTACTTAAAAGATTCTGTAATTCCTTATATTTTGGATCTTGGCAATAGTGTAAGAAAAAATGACCTACCTGCACTGGCCTATGATAACATGGTCTCCTTCCTTAACACGGAAGCAGGGCGAGATGTGTGCTGGTATATTAGAGTGTCTCTTCTCATACCTAGAAAAAAATGAAAATAATTAAAATAGGAATTTATTTGGAAAACGAAAACAGAGAGCCAACAAGTATTGCTTGCCTTTGATATTTCTTCACATAATGAAGGTAGTTTCTGCGTATGATAATGGTTCGGTTCATCTTGGCACTATGGCATGTGCCTGCTAAGATGCAACCCCTAATTGACACATTCCGTGAATGGGCATTTCTTATCAATGTAAGTACCTGCAAGTACATGTCTTAATGTTCTGTTTTTCTATTATATGTAGAATACTAGGCAAACAATAGAATCCTCCAAGGAAAAACACATCAAACAAATGTATTGATCAAACTGTTTATGTAGGTACCAAAATAGTATGAAGATAATTTACTTTTGACTTTTTTTCTAATATAAAAAAAAGTAACTGAAGCAGAATGTTTTGCACTTTAGTCCCCTTAATTTTGTTAATGTGTACAACTCCCTTAATTGTAGTTATTCATAGTACCTCCATTCTTATTATCCTGTGCATATCAATACCTCAAGTTAAATTTGGTGAGGAAGTTCTGAGAAAATAACAAGAAAGCCTACTCCTCCCAAAAAGTCAACAAAAATCTGAAGACCCTTGCCAACAACAGATCTCATTAGGAGAGCCAAAAACGAAAGAGAGTAGAAAGGGGAGCAAGAGGATTTGGCTAAAAAATAAGAAAAAGCCCTTAATATAAATGCAAGTTGGACTTGTGTTGCCAGAAGTAGAAAAGATTTTCCATTCCTAAAGTGAAACTGAATATAGCTACAGAGAATTGGACAGAGAGATTAAAGTGCAAAATAGGGGCAAGATTAGGAATATGATATAAACAATAATCGAGGAATTTATATGAAAAACAAAATATGAGAAGCATATTTGCGGGGCTTTTAGAAACCCAACTAACTCATTCAATGTATGTGGATCTCAAACTACTCAGAAGAAACTTGTATTTATTTTTATTTTTGATAGTATGGACCTCACAAAAGATGAAAAGGAAACAGTTATCTATGAGACACTAGGCAACAACCACTAAATAGAAGCTAATACTAACATGTACGGACCGCTCTACATAAAATACTCAGTGACCAATATCTATAACATTGAATCTACGACATACAAAGGGCCTCACCAAAAATATATTGACCTCTACCAAAGTAGAAGGCCAGACCTTTATTTTAAACTTGGTACTTAAATTTTATTAATCATAACCTTTTGACATGCTTAGTTTTGCAGTACCCAATGTAGCCCATAATGCACATAACTTAAGCACCTACTTTGTATTTGTGATGAACCTAATGAACAAATAGCATTTTCGATCATCAAGCAATCAAAACTAGAAATAGTGGCATGACAAAGAAGATTTTGGTCGTTACCAAACTTGTTCAGTCCCAAAATAATAATTAGAAAAGACCAAAAGGATTCAGTTTAAAATGGACAAATTCCTTAGAAAAGCCTCTCTTTTCCCCCTTTTCCCACGGAGTGGCCCCCTTACCGAATTTCCCTCGGACCGTCAAACACAGTAATTCCTATAAAATGGTAACCAAGATGTTTTGCCAATTTGAATAATTTATTTTAGAGCTTTGTCGTATGAATTCAGACCAAGATAAAGAAAACAAGCCTGACAGCTCTAAATCAAAGCAACGAGAAAAGTAGATTTTAGACCTTCAATGGCTTCTCTGGGTGTCTTGAATCCTAGCCCAATGGTCTTCCAGAATCATTATATTAACACCATTTGAAAATATACTCAAAGATTAAGTAACTCCAACGACTCGGCCGTCTTACCAAAGGAATACCTTTGGCTGCTTTAGAAAAAGCTTCTCCGTCTGCATAACAGTATGACACAAAATCAAAAAGAAGTCAGTATAGCAAAAAGAAAATGGAAAATAACTGACTAATTAACTATGGGACAATCGGAGAGAAGGAGAAAGTAGACATTGTTTAACCGCAAGAAATCTTAGGGAAACAAACACAAAGCCTCACAGCGCACAAATATTGCTATCGGCGTTCCAAACACACCACAGCAAGACAGTGTACTTCAGAAGAAACTCTCACAAAAAAAAAAAAAACCTTCTAATCAAACAGAACCCTTTCAAATGGTCCTGAGGAATCTGCGACCGTGCTGGGTCACAGAAGAGCCCAAAGCGACAGTGGATCGGCAGACTTCGAATCTAAGAGGAAAAAAATTCCCAAAAAATCGGGAGAAAATGAAATATCCAATGTAGGTGGAAAGGGAGTCATTCGAACGAGAAGCAATCCAACCTGTTCCGCCATGACCGATCGAGCGTAGGAGATAGGCAATAGGCCTTCTAACGCGGCGGCGACGAGGCGATTGAGGAGACCGAGACGGTATGCTGGGTCACAGAAGAGCCCTTATGAGAATACTTGTTGGGATTTATGAGACATGACTTGCCAAACGGGTCCATCCGTCTTACCCGGGCTTCGTTTCGAATCGGATCCGGGTCGCGACCTGAAACCCGCCACAGATTAAGTAACAATGTGCGTTCAGCATTGTTGGTCGATGCTTTGGGAATATGGATATAATCAACATACTGACGTGGATTTTTAAGTAAACATATTTTTACTGTTAGAATGGGTCTAAATGGATATTATTATGTTTCCGATTAATATAAATAAATATCTAATTTAGTTTAAGATATTTATTTTTTTTTGGAATAATTTATGCTCTTGTTATATTTTTAAGTTTTTTCTTAAATTAAAAAATAATATATATATGACCCTCACACATTAATTCGAACCTAAGACCTATTAATTATGCAATAAAACACTAATCAACTCAAATGTCTCAATAAAAATTTATTTACTTTTAAGTTAGTTATAATCATGTGACAAAAAGACACATCTAGTTATAATAGAGTTTTGCACTTGGCAAAACTTTTTTGGCTAGAAAAATTCAAAGTATTTACATTATTAAGAATATTTAAAAATAATAATAAGAGATAGGGGCATAGCTTAACAAAGCCCAAGGAAGCATAATAGAAGTCTTCGGCCTTGGTTCTTCCATATTTTTCATAACATGTATATTTTAATAACTATCAGACTTGAGATTTGAGATATACTGGATTCCATTATGTCCATCTACATAACATCTCAAAAATATAAATAAACAACAATATATATTTGTTCACATATATTCTCTGTTCGAAAATTTTGTCATGCAAAATCTGAATCAACATAAAGAATATATATATATATATATATTATTTATTTATATTGACCGAGTCAGTTCAGCTTGAACTCTGAGAGGAGAGACATTTGATGAATCTATATAGTAGTCCTATAAGATGGTTGATATAATATCAAGATATTCGAGATAGTTTTCTGGTGGTATTCGAGTCATTTTTAAGTGTCCGATATGTCCCCATTAGACCAAGGTGGAACCCTGTTAGATTAATATTAGGAGAAATTTTCTGACATAACATCTCTAATGCTCAAGTTAGTTAGTGTGAAAATTTTTTGAAAAGAGGTTTGATTCTTAGGTGAATGCCGACAGTTGACTTATATACCTAACCAACCGAAAAGATTCTTTGTAATGGTCTCGATGTCCCTCTTAACGTTTTATCCATAAGGATGATAGACCCGAATGATCTGTTATGGGTTTTTATTCATGGAGACCGATAGAGGGGTAATAGACCCAAATAACCTCTCGTGTACTACAATCTACAATCTACGGAGGCTGACATGACCGACTCAAATAATTTCTCATGGATTATTATCCATAGGAGCCGATAGACTATAGTCTCCCCACGTGATCGTCTAGTGGGCGAAGAGGAGATGACTCGATCATTTTTTTTTCATGTCAATGTCTTTATGAAATCCAATTGGTGGACGAGGATTAATTGTTAAAATATTTTTTTATAACTGAGATTTTGATATAATCATTGAAATTTTATTGTACATCATAAAATTAGTTAGATAGGTGATAAATTATAACTGCCTTTCCTTATTATTGTCTTTATCCTACGATGACACACCACCATTTGTTTTGTCGATGATAAACAGTAAGTAGCGTTGCTGTGTTTTGTGATCAAAAGACGCAGAAACATGAGTCGATATCATTGAATCGGACATGAACATCCAAGATCAAACATGCCCCCGACAAGCATGTTTTCCGCTGCTTCAAATCTATTCCTCTCTTGACATTTGGTGCACCGTTGAAGAAACCGTGTGTTCAAATTTCTAAAGATTGTTACTTTGTCTGCTTGGATGGTACATCCATCCCATCTTCAACTTGATAGTGAGACTATCAAATGAAAACAATCTTGTTAGCCGTTTGAATGACACACTGTTTCCGTAGATCGCTTTGTTTTTGCCATGTATTTATCTTGGAAAGCTGAAGAGCATGACATGGATCAGCAAGCTGTTTCTCACCATATCATGTAGTCCTTAACGTATGCTACGATCCATTCCTGAGAGGAAGACAGGGATTTGAACACTCCCATGCACGTACACATGGAAACTTGTAACTCATGGAGGGAACACCAACCGAAGCCAGCTAAAAGCAAAAGCATACTCGGACACTGGAGCACAAGGTGTCTGAATGACATCGAAGACTTGTTTCGAGCATGCCCAAGACATCGGAACTCGGGCGTGGGAGCTCTTGAAACCTTTTTGGGACTTTCACGGTCGAGTAGTACTTGGTTGCAAGGAGATAGCTAGGGATGAAGGATCTCGAAAGGGGAATCTTTGACTCCATTCATGCACACGAGGAGGAGATGGAAGGCACGGTGAGACGAAAGCCCATATTTCCATCATCAAAAGCCTGGCATGTCGGCAGATTCGTACAGGCAAATCCCTTCATCCAGTCCTTTCGTTCTCGGAGAGCAAGAGGGCTTGTCTCGCAGAGAAAACCCATCATAATCTTGTTGTTGTCGGCAAGATAGTTACATTATGGTTCTTAATTTTAGGTATAAAACATGGATATGTTCCGCTGAAATGTATTTTTAGATGATTTCTTGTTCGATTTAATTTCAGATAATTCTAAATCTTGTTGTGACTTTTTAATCATGAAATAGTTCATGAAATGTCTCCATTCACAAATTTCTCGTAATGCCTATAGTTGGCTTTATCGATCAATTATTTGTTACCATGTCTCTTTGTATTTTCCACAATGAGAGATATACTTACTTTAAAATGTAATTTTCCCTTTGGCTAAGAAATCTGCAACATTATATTGTGCCCCATAGAATTATGTTGGCAATTGATGTACCTTTGAGGAAAATATATAATTTTGCAGCATTTATTTCACTCAAAAAAGTATAATAAGTGTAGAAATTCTGCGGCATTTGGGTAAGTATGATTCAATAGATAGAGGAAACAATTACTGTTCCTAATAGGAAAACCTTAAAGGATCTTATTAGAAACTATAGATGAAAACTCAAATACTTTTTATTTAATTCATCATATATTTTCTCTAAAAAGTGACAAGAGATCCATGTAATCAATTCGAGATAATTGGGTGTATGGCTTCGCTGAGTAATCAAACTCCTGACATCCGGGAAAAGAACCTTCATATACTAACCATTAACCTGGATGATAGATTGATTGATCGATCGTAGCCCAAAGATGATTGAGCTTATTTTGTTATATTATAATGTGATTCATTAAGATGAAGGAAAAGGAAAGAATGGCTGTCATTGTATGGTAAGAGGAGCTGCAATTTTCCATCCCCAACATGGTCGCCACCACCACTGTCTCGGTGCCACCCAAAGCACAGACATGCATCGTGACCATCCTCTAAACACGTGGCGCCTCTCCTGCACCTCCATCCTCCCTTCCGGGGCCCCTCCTCGATATGGACACCGGCGTGGCCTCCTCCCCCACCACCTCTTCATCTCTCCTTTCATACTTCACACAATAAAACCAGTGGTTGACCTCTCGCTCTTCCTCGTTCCCACCGTATCCAAGATATGGAACCATTGGGAACCTCCGCTGGCCATGTACTAACTAAATGTTCAAGCATAAGATCGAGTGCTTGAAGCCAAGTATGCCCACCCAACAAGGAGCAGGAGGTAATTAAAATCTTGATCCAAGGTTTTGTAGATCTTCCTCATTAAATTAAATTCGTGGGTGCACCATCTTTTCAGATAAAAGCGTACGTGACAGTATGATGCAGAATCTTATGACATTATGTAGCAAGTACATGTTTTGATTTCATGTAATGTGGAATAGCAAACCAGTTGCTCTTATGAACAGTGTCTAAGAGACCTTGTGATCTGACTAGTAAAAGCATGTTTGTAATAAGAAGACCAAACATGAACAAGGTCCAAATATTTGGGGAACATCCTTCCTCAATGAGTGACAGTTACAACATAGAATAAGATAACATGGCATAAACCAGAATTGTCAGTCACAATAATTTATTTGCCGAGACATATCTTGGATTTTGGACTTTCAAACATCTATAGTCCGTGGTATGGAACAGTGATGATCAGGTCCAATAGCTTATATATATATATTAGCACTGTCAGAAAGTTTTGCACACTCATTCCTTACCGTCTTCTCTCCTTCCACATCTTGCATAGAGGAGGTGAAATACATCTCTCCTATCGTAGTCTTTCTAGGATTAGAAGCTCCTTCCAATGAAGCCTATCGTGTCAGTGATGTTTCTCCTTTTTCTGGTTCTCCTCGCAGCTAACAGGACTACAGGTACCTTCAAGGCCTTATCGCTGATCATTTAAATCCATAAGGTATTCGTTTTTGATTTGTTCCTCTCGTTCAGGGATCAGATTGTTGGAAGAAGAATCAGTGGCTTCCCTACGCAACCAACTGCATGTCAGTAGATAGCTTCTTGATAGTACTGCGTCTACAGTGGCCACACTTGTTGGTTTCTTCCGGGTCACTAATACTGTTGTACTGCATGCTGATACCAGGAGGAAAAGAGCTTGATGAAAGAAGGAGCGCTTCTACGTGGATGCCATGGGGATTGTTCAGGTAGTGTGAAGGAGAGGAGATCCATAAGCAAAGTTAGAGAAGTCCATCAAAGGCTTCCAGGGTTTCATGAAGATTACGTTGGACCTAGGAATCACATGCCTGAGCACCATTGAAATTATTCTTCATGCACGCTGTTCCACGAATCTTCTCAATTTCCTTTTGTTTTCTGTATTTGAACGTCATAAAAGAAGCTTGACCACAAACATGTAGTTTTATTTTCTGATGAAAATAAGTGTTTTTCCGAGAGAACACTGTAAAATAGTTGTGTCTTTCTGATGAAGTCCGTGGACAGACTTCATGACTCTGAGATAGGTTCTTCCTTATCTGTTGATGCAGGAAAGAGTAGGAAACTCATGACCGATGCGATGACCATTTCCAAGGTTGGTGTTCTAGTTAGCATCGAACAGTAGATCCTGCATCCTCTTTGCTCATCATCTCATGGTCATTCACAGAACGATATCGGAAGCAAAGACGACCTCCACAAGGCCCCGTCTGTTTCAAGGCAACCGCAGACCTACCCGGACGTCGTAGACATAGCAGGAATGGACTACTCTCCTGCCAACAGGAAGCCTCCGATCCACAACTGAAGTGCTACTACCAACCAGCTTAGGAGGAGAGAGCAGTAGAGATATTGGACAGCATTGCAGGAAATGCTGCAGGTTTCTTGGATTAGGTCCGGTGCCTCTAAGTAGATACTACCAAAAATGAATGTATCATCTTTATTTTTGTCAGCTTCATGATTGAGCTTTTGATTATCACATTCGCCAACAGTGACTGGATGTCATACATGCATGCATGGTGGGAGAGACAGGGATGGGGAAGATTTTTGTCCCATGTGTGTGTCCTTCAAAGACAGGCAACCACTTAATGAGACATTATGTCCTTTAGAGGAGAGGATGTATTATATCAGGCACTTGATGTAAGGTTGGTTCACGAGGCTAGCTGGGACAGACGTTATTCTCTCTCTTGATTGCATTGGGTTGGATGGACTCTCTGGAGTGTGGGCTCATGTGTTCTCCACTTGCTTAACTTCTCCTCTGTTCGGAGGGTGTGGGTTATGACATGGTAGTGTTTGAGGATGGAATGCCAGAGCAAGAAACTGAAGCAAAAGGATACGAGTGCAAGCAGTAGGAATGCGTCATGATAGGCGGTGTCGTGAAAGACGCAAGATATGGAAGAAGGATGGGCAGCGTTGATCCCTTCTATATTAAATAGCCGGATAGGATGATAATAAATAAAGTAAGAAGCAATTATTACTTACATGTACTGATTCACTTACCCATACATAACCTTTCATATGATGATGATATGATTGTTATAATGAGTGATCTCCCACTTATGCGTGAAATCCATGTCTTCAATGAGAGTAATGCCATACCCAGGCCTAAGTATCAATGAAACTCCATGAGAAATTGACGATGAGTAATTGAACTCAGTATAAGTTCAAGTTAGAGGCATTGGATGAGCGATTATGAAGGGACTTTTCGTACATTACAGGGTAATTGAACTCAGTATAAGTTGGATGCGCGCTCGACCACAAACAACAGAAGAAACAAACCAACTATATAAAAAATGTCGCATTTGCTTTTCTCGTAGGTTAATGCACCATATGTTGGGACCCGCATTGGGTCCCGCATGGTTCCCGTGAGGGGAAGCCGTTGGGGTTTCGCAAAACAGAGTCTTTCTTTAAAGCAGAAATTTTGTGGTCATCGAGGCGTCATCCGGCATCCAATGAGGAGCACGCGACATACGCACTTCCTGTCTCTCATCCTTCCACGTGGCCCGATTCCAACCTCCACTTTCCACCAACCTCTTGTGCTTCTCCCGCTTCTCGCCCCTTCCATCAGCTCCGAGGCACTTTCTCTTCAGCCCCTCCCACCGACGCGATCTACCAAAACCCTAAAGAACCATCGACCAGTATATCGATGTCAGTTTCTCTCTCATCTGCTCCGCGGATCCTCCAAGACCTTCTCTTCCTCCGCCCCACCGTCGGCCGCCTCCCCCCTCTTCCCGGGTACCGCCGGTTGCAGAGTCGTCGGCTGCGGAGGCTCTCGTCTCGAGTCGTTGTTCAGTCGGGTTCCAATGAGAGAATTTCGGTCACTGAGGTCTCCAGGGACTTGGATAGGTATGTGGGGAACGGGAATGGGAACGGTGGCGGCAGCGGATACGGGTTCAGGGAAGTAGTTAACGGGAGTGCGAATGGGAAAATCGAGGTGATACTTAATGGGAATGAGGCAAGTAATGGCAGTGCGAGTTTGGTGTACACTGATGGGAATGGAGCGGTAGCGAAGGAAGTGGATGAGGTTTTTGAGGAAGCGAAGAGGAAAAAGAGGGTTGAAGATATAGGAAAAGAGGATGCTTGGTTCAAAAAGGGTGGAGAACAACCGCAGGTACGTACCACTTTCATTAGTGGTTTTGTAAATTTATTGAAATCGAAGTATTTAATGAATCATCACCTTAGCTCATTCTAGTGCAATGGTCTATGCTCACATACAGAAGAAGTCGTTTTCTCAGTTGCTGCAGGTGGACCTGCTAGTGAATCAATATAAATTCATTTTCAGAGATTTCAAATTTGGAATGTAGGTTTACGCCCAGACTCTGCATATTTGTATATGGATAACATAAACTGCAGAGATGGAGAAAATAAAATCATCCTTTACTCTGGACAAGTTTAGGATATCCATCTCCTTGACATGGTGCATAGACAGAGGATTATAGTTACATACACGTAAAAGAGGCAATCTAGATGATGTGTTGGTCACTAGTGGTGTGAACAGGAGAAAACTGTGTCCTACTAGTGCTGAATCAAGTAATTATATAAACTGATGACATATTCAAATTATCCAATTTCATTTACAGGTCACTAATAGCTTTTTGACTCAACCTGCTCATGCTGGCCGGCATATGTTATTGTGCCATTAATTTGCTTACATGATATTTAATGCTTTGTGGCTCTCAGACTTCTTGAAATCAGATTCCCAGAGAATTATACAAAAAAGTGTTGCTATGTGAGTTTCAAGATAGGCGGGTTTAATGGCTTAAGTAGTGAGTTGGGAGAAAGTTTAGTCCCACTATTGTGCTTCAAAGATGTTTGCGACCTCAATTTTTCTTGCTGGTCTGTCATACATTTAGACTACATCATCTGAAGGGTTCATTTTTGTATTTAGGAAGAAAAACATAATTTTATGACTGCTTGTGAATACAACAATTTTCTTTTACTTTATAACTGGGCTTTAAGCTGGAATTTATGTTACTAAAGTTTTTAAACATAATTTCAGTGTTTTGGAGTACCATCTGGCATAGATTTTGCAGGTGAAGGTTTTAAGTAATTGAACCTTGTTTTATTTTATTATGGTGTAAACTAAGTTTGAAACCTAAAGAGTCATCAACATGGAAGGATATAATATATGTATACATGTATGTTTGTATATTGTAAGAATATTTCTAGATAGTTTATTTCTAACATAATGAGGAATAAAAGCTTGTCATTGTTGCTGTGAAGAGAAAATCTAAATACATCTGTATAATATATTGAACCATCTGAATGTTATTTGTGGTCAATGATTTCTTTAGCATTAGTTACTTAATATTAATAACTTTATTTTTGATGTTAGGAGATTATACAGAAGTTAAATTTCATTTTCAATTGTTTACATACAGGGCCCCACCAATTCTCATACATATACCCTGCTATATCATATTGATTGAGTGAATTGAGATGATTCTTCACCCTCACTTATTAATGAAACCTCATGTTGTGGTTTTTCTTAATAATAAATACAATCTCATCTTTTACCAAGACCAGGCTATGGCTCGTTGAATCTTAAGTAAATGTCAGGCTCCAAGGTGAGATGAAAGAACAACCATTCAGAAAAGAAGGCATGTGTGGAAGGGTATAGGCAGGAATGAAAAAATACATCAATGTGGTGGTTTCATTTAAATAGATACAAATGATAAATAATGAAAAATATAAAATGAAAGAACATAAAGGTCATCTGGTGTTCAAACAAATGGATTTTGGGACCATGGCTTTTGCTGGGATACTAAAGAAGTAATTTGACTCACCTATACCTTCTTGAAAATTTGAAATATATAAAGATGTTACATGCTTATAAATGTCATAAACCCCATCAACTGTAACTTGGTGGTTCCAAAGACCACATAGCTCAATGCCACAAAAAATAATAAAAAAGAGAGGATAATATATAAGAGGCCTTATAGACTTCTAGTTACATCTTTATATCTTATTGCAGAACAATAACCATCTAATTAATATGTATCCATAATGATTCTTGGGGCTGTATTTGAGAGCTTCAATAAAGATGTTAGCCACCCAAATCTTAGATTTAAAAAACTTCTGAGCTACAGAAATAACAAGTTATTTTAAGGAGATCTGAAAAAGTGCGAATTAGAATGAATGTCTATGCAGAAGCTACTTCTACTAGGTTTTCTAATTTTTACTGTTGAGTGGTAGACATTCATGTAGTTAATTTGTCTGATGTCAAGAGGTATATTATATGTATAATGGGCCAGCTTTATGAGGTGGTATAGAACTTTCTACTTCTGAATATCTATGGTCAATCTCATGTAATCTGTCAAGCTGCAATACATTATCGTGGCATATGTTAAATGTGCTATGAGCCTATGAGTATAATTTGAATTCTTAAAAAATGCTGAAGTATTTTGAGTCTTCTTATACATGGTCCATTTGCAGGTCATGCTGTGAAGAAAACCTTTTGAATGCTCTGAAGGAAATCACCAACTAACATTTGATAATTCGACTTACTGCTATATATAGCTTCTGATCAACATGACAAGTATAATGATGGAAAGTTCTTAGTTGGCAACATTTTCAAAATACTTCTTACTTAAAAAATTTATAGAAAAGAAAACATCAACTTATCATTATATGTTTTTACTTCATCAATAACATTTCCTTTTTCTATTTGATACTGTAATGAAACTTTTACATGACTGGGTGCATTTTAATCTTTGGGGGAAAGTTGGTGTCAGTAGATTTATGGCAATATGTATTCAAAGGAAACAATCATAAACTCCATAGGCTAACATGATTTTTTTTAATATTACAATCAAATTATGCATCTTTGCACTTAATTAATGACTGAATTACATTTCTTTTTCTCTCTTCACATCTGTACCTTTTTGGATGTTAGCTTCTAATTAAAATTTTTAAAAATTAACATATCAATTAAAATTTTTTGTGTTTATCAATTCTTGATGATTTGCTCACACTTGCAGGTCTCTGTTACTCCTGGAGGGCGTTGGAATAGGTTCAGAACTTATTCTACAATTCAAAGAACCTTGGAAATATGGGGCTTTGTTTTTGCATTTCTTTTTAAGTCTTGGCTTAACAACCAGAAGTTCTCTTACCGAGGTAAATTTCTGAATCTTATGTTAGAATCATCTTGCAGTCATCCAATCTCTCATGATAAATCAATTCTTTTATTATTGTAAATACAGATTTGGCTCTTTGAGCAACTTATACAGTCTAATAATGGCCTAGCAAAAGATGAGGTTGTTTATAGGGGCTGGTTTAAGTCACAGGAAGAGCTTGTCTGGTTGTAATGGTGAAACTGCATAAATTGACCCTCCCTATGCTCTTCTAGGGTAGAAGGAGCCTTGTGCTAGTGCCATTTTTTTAAAAAGGTGTGAATTGGTGCCTTGATCATCGAAGCATGGTCTGCAGTACCGGTCCGACAGGCTTCCGGTACGCGGACCATCTGTTACCGATCCGACACTGCAGCAACACTGTAGCAATACTGTAGCAATACTGTAGCATTAGGTGTACCGCTCGGTATACCGTACCGTATCGGTACCGAGCCCAGGTCGAAACTCTGGTACGGTACGGTATTGCGGACCTTGCATCGAAGCATTGTTTATTGAAGTGGTAATTCATGATGAAAAGCTTTTTCTTGTCTATACTAAATAACAGATGAACCAGGATATTCATAAATATTGATGAATTAAATCAATAAACCTTTTTCTTACTTTTGTTCTTCCAACCCTAAGATGTTCTATCTTTAATCCAGCTACATGATTGGTGTTTAGCACCTCCCATGTCTTCGAGATCTATGTTCTTTAGATTGGTTATAGCTAGCACTTACATGGAACCTCGAGGCATGCCTATGTCCCATTAAGGACAGCCAGCTTCAATCATATATGCATGATTTCAGATATTATAGCCCATAAGAAGACACATCAATCAAGGGCATAATCAAAATGAAGTTGAACTTTAATGAATCTCCACTCTAAATTATTGTGTAAGTGTAACAATTATAAATATTTTTTAATGTTATTTAATTTTACAAGTCATTGTCAGTTAATTCACTTAATACTTAGCAGTTAGCACTACTTTTTGGTAGGTGCATTCATGTAAAACAGGAGTGTTGAGGATCATACATTAAAAGATATCAGGTTATTATGACACACCATCTGTTTTTTGGATGTTAAGATTTATGTCTTGACAATGTGCAGGAGGAATGACTGAGGAGAAAAAGGTTTCAAGGCGAAAAGCCCTTGCTAAATGGTTAAAGGAAAGTATCCTGAGGTTAGGTCCCACATTCATTAAAACAGGTCAACAGTTCTCCACAAGGGTGGATATTCTTCCACAGGAGTATGTGGATCAATTGTCTGAACTTCAGGTCAAGTTTCTAATTGCCCACTAGAGTAATCTGCTCTCATATATTTGACTGTAGACAAATTTATGGTCATGAATTTGCTTTGTTCTTGATTTTTTCAATCATGAATGGATATGGAGTTATTAGCATTCATATACTTTACAATTCTTTTATAGCTTTATGTAGAAATTTGGACTAAAGAAATAGTGGATATTGGATAATATCAAGGTTCGCCGTACTGTACCGTACCGGCGTTTTGACCCGGGCTTGGTACGGTACAGTATCAGTGTATCGAGCGGTACACCAGGGCGTATTGAGTGGTACACCAGGGCATACCGAGCGGTCCGCGTACCGGTATACCATCGGACCGGTACGTACCGCCCGTATCGGGTGGTACCATTCGGTACTGCATACCTTGGATAATACCGTACTTAACTTTTCTCAATGCATACTTTTGTTAGTGAGGAGGTTTTGTTTCTGAGGTTCTAAATCCCCTGCAACACAATGTTAACAGTTGGATGTAAGCAAGATATATAGAAAGTGAAGTCAAGTGGTCATTGCAAACTTCTGTTGCATATATCATAAAATATTTTTCCCCCTTTTGTAGTGAAGGATGAATTAATTATCCCATTTATAAACAAAGCTGTGGTAGGTGATATCTAGTTTCTCAGGTACTGTTGCTTTATTAAATTGACTTATGTTGTAATGCAACATCAACAAATTGCTTGTGATAGATTACAATGCTTGTCAAGTGAAGGGGAAAAAAAATATACCACACATATGTTTGTTTCTTTTGTTTTGGGTTCATTTTTTAATTTTGACCTTGTAGAGCATTGTGTATATTTCCTTGATTATACTTTTATTGTTAACAATCACATTATTGAACTTCCCAAATTACTTCAAAATGAAACTCAAAAAGATTTTCCATCTTTTAACATGCCACTCACCTGCGTTCACCACCCTCTCTCTACCACCCTCCCTCTCTTGTACATAGGTGCATCTCACTGGAAACACCACAGTAAGATGGTCTCCCTTTTTAAATCTCTTTTCCTCATGTCTGAGTATGTCTGCAGCCACGTCGGATGGGATTCTATGCCTCAATCCAATGGAATTGGCTTTTTTGGTCAGAATAAGCTGATTGTTTTCAATTTGGCTGATCCCAATGAGCTTGTGTTGTTACAATTTATTTTTGATTGATTTTGTTCAACTCTGGCCATTATCTTTGTTACTTTCAGTTTATTAATTATGAGCTTATTTAATTTTGCAATTTCCGTATGGAGCCCAGTATTAGTTATAGAAGTACCAAATTATCTAGTAATGTACAGTTTTTTTTTTGTGACTGACCTCTAATAGAGGGCTATGACATGTTTTGGTGTCGCTATGTATGCAGATAATATTCTGCTACTTTCAGTTATATCAATATGTTACTGTGCCTTTGCTCGGTGTTTAAATCTGTGGAATTACAAGAATTTTCAGTGCTTCATATCAAGTGGCTAAACCTATCTATGCATTACGCAGGACCAAGTTCCACCATTCCCTTCAGAAACTGCCATCTCAATAATTGAAGAAGAACTTGGAGCTTCTTTGGATGATATTTTTGATCGATTTGATTATGAGCCAATAGCTGCTGCAAGTCTTGGTAATCAATTTTCATCTAATAAGCAAGGAATCTATTCATGTAGAATAAGTGGTATGAAAACGTATGATACACTTCCTCTTGCATTGTCAGGTCAGGTGCATCGTGCAAGTTTGAATGGCCAAGAAGTGGTGATTAAAGTGCAAAGACCTGCCCTTAAGGAGCTATTTGATATTGATCTGAAGAATCTGAGGGTTAGTGCTTTGTGACTGTTCAAACTTCAAACTTCAAAGTACAATCTTCTACTTGATACTTGATTCTTTACATTATTTGGTCATTACTTAGATCCCTGTTCAATGCCTTTCACAGTAAGGCATATGATATTTAATGAGGGCTTGTAATAGGATAATACGCAAACAACTTGTCACCTATACTGCATATTTGAGTCGATTTTCACTTTTTGATGCATAAACTATGGTAGACCCCATCAGCCATGTCAACCATTCAGTATTTGTAAATATATCCACTTTAAAGTTATGTAGATATAAATAGGGAATGACATCTAAATAAGTGGATAGTGGATATATGATGGTTATTCGCAGGTGATAGAAATAGCTTGATGCACCAACATTGCCTTTGTTTTTTTGTGAATTTTATATTTTATTCAGCTTATGTAGTAAATGCTAGCATGTTTTAACTTCTAGACATATATGAAGTTATGAACTAATATAATTGCATTAAGACCAATAAGACTTTAGCCTTATGTGTTGGTAACACTCTTTTTAAGTTTCAATCAGGTTTTAAGGTACCAATTTTTTTTTTTCCTGGAATTGGTGTTTTGTCATGTTTTGGGGAATGATATCCATCATATTTTGCATAGAGAGTTATTCTTAGGTGAAATTCTTCCTTGCACATTTCTCTCTTGAGAGCAAGGTTTTAAAACATTGGTGTCATTGTCAAGATTTTAATACATCATTATCAGTATGTATTAACCAACATGTATGATATGACCAAGTAAACAAACAAGGAAAATACTGAAAAATGTTTGATCTGTAGGTACAATAGGCACATGAATTTACTGGTATGGTTCAGTTATTGTACTGTAGTATTTAAAACTAAGGTTTGTCATACCGCTCGGTATGGGCGGTATGTACCGGTCCGACAGGGAACCGGTATGGCGATACATCGGTATGCCCTCATGTACTATGTATCGGTATGTTCGGTGTGACTCGGTACAGTATCGTACCAATAACTAGTCGGTACACCGGTACGGAGTGGTAAGATGAACCATGCTTAAAACCATGTTGGAATATAATAAACGTCTTTTGTGTTTATTAAATTATGACTTGTTATTGAGCGTTATGATGCATATTCATCTTCAGCTTATCACTTATTAGAAAATCTACATGTGTTTTTGACACCTGAAACATCATTACTAGTGTAAGATCATATAGTATATGATTTTCAATTCTTAGAAGGTGGTCCTTGATGTCATGGTACTGTTGCTTATTTGTGATCTAGATGATTAAGGTTCAAGTCACAGAAACAACCTTTCTGCTTAGAGTGGAAGGCTGTATCAATTGGCCCTTGCTAGACCCTGCACTGGTGGAAGTCTCATAAACTGGATTGCCCTTTTTAGATGTTGTTATTATTAGATTCTGGACTCTGCTAGATAACATGTAAATAGTAATGTTGTTAATTAATGCTATGATGTTGGCATGCACTGGGTTGTTATGTGTCAACACTATTGTCCTTGCAGTATGGTTTGCAATACCGTACCGTACCACTCGGTACGGGTGGTACGTACTGATCCGATAGAGGACTGGTACGGGTGGTATATCGGTACACCTTAGTGTACTGTATGTTGGTATGTTCGGTATATCTTGGTACGTATCATACCGATAGCTGATCGGTACATCGGTACGGTATGATATTTAGAACCTTCCCTTGCAATACGGATGGGAAAAGTACGGGAAGAGACAAGAAAGTGAGAGTTAGAGAGGGTAAATGTTTTCATTTTCCTTTGGATGATCTATAATTGCTTTTTTTTTTTGCGTGTCTATAGGATAGCAGATCCATGATCTAGTGGTCGTAGGGGTCTGTATGTCTGAAAATTTGTTCCTCTCAAATATATGAACAAGGATGATGCTTCTTCTCCAAGCTTATTTTACCAATAGAGTTTCTATTCCATTTCACAATAAAAAACACATAAACGATTGGATAAAAGTAAAACAATTGTATTCCATAGAACGGAGTAAAATGCTTTTACTAAGCCTGTTCTCAGTACGAGGAAGTTGGTCTTGTCTTCTTGGCTGTTGAGTACATGCTGCTTATACTGGCAGCATGGCATGAGATTGAAGTTAGGGCATGGCTCAAGGATCTAGTGCCTTATTGATAACCAACATGGTAGATAACACATTTGTCTTCAATATCCAAAAGTAATAAATATTCCTGGAAATATATACACACATGAAAGTGAAACTATAAACAAGAGACAACTGTTTATCTGAATGTTACAGTGACAACTTGCAACTAGGAGTCTAGGACACAATAAAACAGGCACTTTGGCAATATATATATATATATATATATATATATATATATGTGTGTGTGTGTGTGTGTGTGTGTGTGTGTGTACATACATATACATGCTCTTTTGTCTTTGATGATACTTTTGTATATATTTAATTTCTGAAAGTTTGCTGGGAATGATTTTCTCAATTGACCAAAAATAGATTCCATGTTTCCATATACAGCTAAAATATTTAGCCTTGGGATACTTGTATACTTTTAAGTTTTAGTTTTCCCAGATTGTGATTATGATTTATGAATAGGTGTGATATATGAAAATAAGGTCAGCTGTATCTTTCATATGGCCGATGATGAGTGCGGTAAAGCGAATGGTTTACAAATTTGATACTTGCATTACGTATAACAAATATATGCTAATTTTTTTACTTAAAATGAGCTGCTCTTTGTCATGGCTTATTTGCTATGTTGGGAAAACCAGAGGACTCTCTATATAGTTAAACATAGTTGCTAAAGTGCCACAACTGTTCTTTTATGTAAATATTATGTTGTTACAGGTTATAGCTGAATACCTTCAGAAGGTGGACCCCAAGTCAGATGGTGCCAGAAGAGATTGGGTTGCTATATATGATGAATGTGCCAGTGTCCTTTATCAGGTTATTTTACTGTTGAATTAGTTATCATGGAACTCTTTTACTGAACTATCTCATTATGATTTTCCCAATTCTAGAGGTGAATCATATCAAGCAAATTTGAAATATATTTAGCTCAATTACTTTAAATGACAAATGTGACATTTTATGAGCATCTAAAATGATGTTAAGTGGTCAGTGTATAACAAATAAGCCTACCCTTATTCATGCCTTTGAGATTAAATATGACTTTCATTAGAAAAGTTCCACAGTGCTGCTAGACTCTTACATAGTGGAATTTCTGGAGTTGGTTTTATGTTGTGTTAGCTTAAAGCACAAGCAATTAATTACATTTTCACTTACCTTTGCATAGTTTTACAGTTAAATTAAAATCCTCAGTTGTTGAAAGTAAACTTCAGCACCAACTTTGCTGATATTAGGATAATTATTAGTTATATTATTAACAAAATTTCTATGGACCTTTCTAATTCTTGAGTTGAAAGAGGCTGGATGATGATGCGATACCAATTAATGTTTTAGTGCCTATATATTATCATTGAAAATGGGCTCTTTGTTTGTAGGGGTAACATTGTGTATTTTGAACCTCCTCAGGTTCCATTTAGGCGGGAGCATCGTGCTCCTTTTCTGTATTATCGATGGTTGATTTTTCTTTTCTTTTCTTAAAATAAGGAATTATCATTCAATTGAGCAACTGCTGTATAGTCACAGAATTCCGTAACATTAACAATCAGTGTGAAATTCCACTAGTTCTTGCTATGTTAGCAAGCTTTTGGGCACAAAAGTGTTTAGTAATATGAGACCATCTCAAAACAATACTCTCTTCCCAGTTCAGAACAGTCAATGCACTGGTCCCTTGGATGCCGTGGCATTCTTTCCACACTATTGCATACGTGGATGAGCCTGTGCATCCATTTGCATCGAGATGGGTCAGTTAAATATTGAACCCCTTCAGTCTGAATATCTGTTCATACAACATGGTTTGAAGAATATGGATTGGTTTCATGATCTATTACAAATTTCAGATCAGGATCATACTAGGTTGTGCAGATATGACCTATGGATCAATATCTTAATAAAAAACCTAAAAGGTTAGAGAGTGATATGATTAAATTAGGACAAAAAATTCAGGGTGACAGAAAAATTAAGAGAAATTCTTCTCCAATCCTCCTTCCAGCTGCTAATATTTTTCTTCTTCTCTTCATCTTTCTGATTCCTGATCCTTTTTGTTCTACTTTCGGTGGCTATTAGATGCCAGCAGCAGCCAGATGAAATATCTCTTTTTTTTGGTCCTCATGCTCCTCTGCCTTTCCCCGGTTAGTTTTAATCTGTTAAATAGCTGGTGCCAAACTCCAGTATAATTTACCAATATAGGAAAGTCAATTGGCAACAGTCTACTAGGTTGAGGTGGGGTGAGTAGGCACGGATTTGATTCTCATGGGAAGTGATGTTGACTGGAGTGTTACAGAACTTGAGCCTGACACCAACATAGTTAAATGAGATTTGGGTTGATCATTGATCCAAATTGATCCAGCCCAAGCTCTACCAATCCTTGACCTTGAATTCCTTATAACCAAAAAATGAGGAAAAAAGGGAAAAGAAACTGGTGTTTCGGGACAGCAGCAGCTGATGTTCACCAGATTGATGCAAATTATGGTATGTGCCATTTCTAGAACTACTCTATATACTGGTACAACTCTGCTTATAAAATACCACTCACTCTTCATGTGTCTGCTTATAATATACTGGTACAACTTTTTCTGGCTTATCCTTAGAGCAACTCTTCTTATAAAATACCATTCACTCTTCATGTGTCTGCTTATAATATACTGGTACAACTTTTCTGGCTTATCCTTAGAGCAAACTTGCTTATAAATATATCTCATAGTCCCGTATCTTCCTTCAGGAAATAGATTATACAGAAGAAGCAGCTAATGCAGAAAAGTTTGCTGAAAACTTCAAAGATATGGATTACGTAAAGGTGCCTAAAATTTACTGGGAATGCACCACACCACAGGTTCGTTATCTCATTGTTCCTGTGAGACATTGGGATTTTCAGAGAAATTCTTTTTAGTTTCCTGATTAAACAGAATATTTTTTTGTTGTTGCAGGTACTCACAATGGAATATGTTCCAGGAATAAAGATAAACAGGATAAAGCAATTAGATCAGTTGGGTGTCGATCGAAAAAGGTAGTGCAATATGAAATTCTTGTCTAGATATCAGTACAAAAAGGTTTTCCCTTTCTTGATTGCAGTTTCAAGATGATTCTCTGATTTGATTCACATTGGCATCCTTTCTTTATAGGTTGGGCCGATATGCTGTTGAGTCTTACCTTGAACAGATTTTGTCCCATGGGTTTTTCCATGCTGACCCGGTACGCTTGGCTGAAATTATACTTATCACATAATTGTTGTATTCGACCTAAAATGGTCTATAAGTTTAGAAAACAAGCTGGATTGATATAAAATTTAGAATACTTTTGTGGTAGTTTCCTGCAATTATACTGGGACTGTTAGTAAATTTGTAATATCTTAATGTCACACAGAAACACGATGAGTAGAGAAAATTTTAAATACAATTGTTAGTAAATAATTATCTTGGGACTGTAAATTTTTAATATTTTATGTCGAAATTTCAACAGGTCTAATCAACAACTAAGGTAGTAAGACCTCATTGATTGAACCACCCAATTTGTTGTTTAACTTCGAGTGCCAAGAATTTGAAATCCTCCCATAACCTTAGACGTGGCAGATGAAATGCAAAAGTTGTCTAGCAGAAGTGACACTGATAATTGAAAACACTAAATTTAAGAGAAAGGTAAATATGATTACTGAATGATCAGTGAAGCTGGAAAAGTTTCTGATGATCTAATAGATGTAAGTGCTTTTGACATATTTACTTTTCCAGTAAATTTTTCAGAGATAACTGTCTATCAAGACCATGCTAAAGGTGAAATATTTAATAGGAAATGTGGCTGTAGTTCTTTCTTCTAGATGCAACAAACAAATAGAACTTCAGTGATTTTTTGTTAACTTGTTATTTTTTGTAAATAGTCATGATTGATATAAATATTTTCCCATTCAGCATCCTGGGAATATTGCTGTGGATGATGTAAATGGTGGGAGGCTCATCTTTTACGACTTTGGAATGATGGGAAGGTTGTGTCTTGAACTCTTGTTGCCTCTACACTCTTCACGGAAAGAAATCATACTTTTGAAATGCTCATATTTGAGTAACAAGTATTCATTCTACAAACCTTTGCAGCATTAGCTCCAATATTAGGGAAGGGCTTCTTGAAGCATTCTATGGAATTTATGAGAAGGACCCAGACCGGGTTAGTTTCTTTTGACTTTTGTTAAAAGGATGTAATTCCTTTGACTCTTGATCTTTTCTTGAATATTTTGTTATACATATAAAGCTAAATTTCCTCTAGTGCCTTCAATGACTCTGATTTTTCTTTTATTCAACTAAGTAGCTAGCTTGATCTTTCTTAAAGGACAGACTCATCACTCAAGTGCTTCACATGAGAAACTTCTGTTGAATCTAATTAGTAGTCTTTTTCTATATATGCATAGTATTCATAATTTCATTTCTGACTTTGAAGATTGTTTAGGTCATTGTTCATTTTACATATGTTACAAGTTTGAGTAAAATATTGAATAGAGAGTAGTGTCATTCTGATATTAAAAGAAAATTCTAGGATGAAACGATGAAAACCTGTTTCTAAATGAAAATTTCACCACTAAGTTCTTGATTAGATCCAAATTTTTGATGCCAGTCTATTCAGATGATATTATGGTATCAGATATGGAAGTTTTGGGGCATCGAAGCTGTAGAAATAGATTTCCAGGGACAGATGCAATTCCTGCAAGTCAACTTGTTTGGGGAAAAAAAACTTTAATGTGAGACATTGTTCTCGTGGATGCTTATCACTTCTTGGTGGCATCATACGCCTCCCTTGAACTCCAAGCCAACAAGGCAGTCCAAGGTGCCTTGCTTGTCAGTGAAATTATGAACATTGCTTGTCAGTGAAAACTGCTTTTATGTGTAGTTGTATATTATAAATTACCAGATTTGGGTGATCTGCAGAATATTGCTTTTTATATCTTTTTAAGTTTTTTTATTTGTATGAACTGTTTATAGCCTTGGTCCTTCAGTGTGTTTTCTTCTTTTCTATGTTCTTCCAGCTCAGTAGCTATTTGAACCTCTAACGTCAGTCGTGAAAATATCTTGTGTGCAGGTGCTTCAAGCAATGATTCAAATGGGTGTTCTTGTTCCTACAGGGGATATGACAGCTGTCAGACGAACAGCTCAATTCTTTCTTAATAGGTGATTTTCAGGAAATATAATGCATATTAAACCATATAAAGTGTGACTCTCAAGTAAATCCTACTTTTGTTATTCTATATTCACAGTTTCGAAGAGCGCCTTGCAGCTCAAGTTAAAGAGAGGGAGATGGCAACAACAGAACTGGGCTTCAAAAAGCCATTGACTAAAGAAGAAAGATTAGAGAAGAAGAAGCAACGGCTGGCAGCAATAGGTGAGACATATGATGTTTCAATTTGTAGGGTGTGGAATTTTAGCTTTCATTACCCATTGTCGAGAACATAATTTCTAAAAGGTTGGTTTATGTGCCAAATTTTATGCTTAAATGTGATCTAAATCTTCAGGGGAGGATCTTTTGGCCATTGCTGCTGATCAACCTTTCCGTTTTCCAGCTACTTTCACATTTGTTGTTAGAGCATTTTCAGGTGTAATAAACAAGAAACAATTCTTTTATCTAATTGTACCATTTTTGGGCTAAACTTTCATTAAAATTGTGACTCTCGTCTGCACAGTACTAGATGGAATAGGAAAGGGACTTGATCCGAGATTTGACATTACTGAGATTGCCAAACCGTGAGTCTGGTTTATAATTTTTCTTAATTATGTTCTGCTTGATTATAATTTGTGATTTGCTGATTTTTGCATCATATAGAGCTGATTATATTTGCATCTTCATCACCAGGTATGCCTTGGAATTGCTTAGGTTCCGAGAAGCTGGTATTGAAGTTATTGTCAAGGCAAGCTTCTTACTGCCTGATGTATTGTACCTCAAAGCTGTTATGCTTTTACATTTGAACTAATAACTTTTTCTTTCTTATAGGACGTTAAGAAAAGATGGGAAAGACAGTCGAGTGCTTTCTATAACTTGTTTCGACAGGCTGACAGAGTGGAAAAGTTGGCACAAATAATTCAAAGATTGGTATTCAACATGATGTTTTGTTGTTTTTCCATCTTTTGTGTTGCTTCAAGGCAGTATTTTTCACAATTTGAAGTCCATTTACTATGTTGTGATGTCTTACAGGAGAAAGGTGATCTCAAACTTCGGGTGCGAACACTGGAATCAGAAAGAGCATTTCAAAGAGTCGCGGCTGTCCAAAGAACAATTGGAAACGTAAGCCTTCAGATTCATGCTGAAAAGCCATTACCGAAAAGCTGTTATACCATCCAATATATCTATACTGAAAAGCTGACCAATCACATAAAGTTGTATCAGATTGAGATTTCAATCCTTAAGTATAATAATACTAAATTCATTAAGATGAAAATAATCCCAAGCGATAATTTGCCATTAAACAATCTTGCGAGTGAAAAGGGATTATGAGCCAAAGGGTACTAGGTATAGTTTAAGCCTCTATTTGGACTATCAAAATGTGGAAAATACTATTCAAGTGGACTAAATCACCCCTGAAAATTTGCATCAATGATGTGGTCTCTCACAAGTCTGATATGAGGGATTTACATGCATGGATTGTAAGAGTGATCACTTCACCTACATAGCAGCATCCTTGATGCATGGATCTTTTTTTTTTTTTCTCCATGGCTTCAAGAGAGGGCTCTGTGATAGCTTAGATTTGGTATATCTTCACATAACATTAAGATCCACATGTGATATAAATTATGTGATTTCTATTGTTGAACAATAATGAAATATTTCAAGAAAAAAATTTGTTCACTTAGACATAAACAAGGGGCCAAAAATTGCATTCTAATCTGCATGTCATTTGAATTCTTGTAAGTAGAGTTATATATGATTGGTATTGTCTTTGAGTTGTGTGGGCTGTATAAGGATCTTCCTGTGGAAAAGAATGAATCACCCACATGAACCAAAAAAGTAGGGGAACAAATCCAAAAAAGTGCTCTCAAGTAAATCAGCATACAATACCACAGCAGGAAGTTAATACTTTTTTCTGGAGATCTTGTTCTACTATTTTTAACTATCGCTTACTGTTTATGCTTAAAATGATCAGTGTTTATATGCACTACTCAAATCTGATGACTTCTGTGTAATTTTATTATATTGTTTGGCACTCCTTTCCTTCTCTTGCAGTGTCTGCATTTGTAAGATTATCTTATACAAGAAATGCTTATGTCTCTGTATGCAAATGACAGGGTGTTGCTGCTGGAAGTTTAGTAAACCTTGCAACAATCTTATATTTCAATTCCATTCGAGTAAGCAAATCCCCGAGTGAACACTTGCCAATTTGAAAATTATGCTTTTGCTTTCCTCGTTTTCTTTTGTAATAAATCTTTTGAGTGAGCAGGTGCCTGCTATGGCTGCATACCTACTATGTGCATTTTTCGGGGCGCAAGTCCTCTTTGGCATTCTCAAAATAAAAAAATTAGATCAGCAGGAGAGATTGATAACCGGCACCGCTTGACATGCGAGTTTTAGCTGCATAGCAAGTTCTGCTTGTATTCTTGTCTTTTCATTTTGTGCTTCCTAATTTAGTTTCCTTATCCATTTTGTATCATAGCAAGCGCTTCAAAGTGAAGCAGAAATTTGTAAATGCTGCACGATAGATGCAAAAATAACATTATTGTATGTTCATTCTTGTAGAGCCGATACACAGGCTTTACATCCAATTATCGTTCAGCTTCAGCTCTTATTTCTTGTTCTTTACTGTGCGGTTTCTTTCAAATCCATAAATATCGATGGGACGAAATTGAGTTCCTTGTATAAAAGATAAATCTTCGTAACATGTTCTTATACAATTATAATTTTTCTTCACATTCTCAAAGCCATGAACGACTCCGAGATACATTTAAAGGTTATATTCATTGTCATTGGGGACTCTCATGTACTTTTTCATAGTATCTTTTCCTCACAAAAGAGAATATTAAACTAAATTTACTGCCTATCCCATTAATTTTTTAATATAAAATAATTTTGGTTATATTAAACTATGTACAAGACACCTAATATATTTCAACCTGAAACTTACCAACTATATTATAGATCAGATGTCATTCAATGAAGATGCAACATGCACAGTGGTTAAGCTCTAAGGCTATCACTACCCTACTCTGTGCACGACGCTGATTAATTATAAATTACTGAATGGTAATGCATATTTTTCGCACATGAATTTACACTAGTGTAAAGATTTATGAGCTTGATGCGGTGGAGAGCTTGTGGTAGTGTGACGATGATGTTCAGATTCAGTGGTATTATCAAGTTGTGTTGATGGTAATGAAGAGTTAGTGACACATATTTGATTAAGCTGATGTACTTCGATATCACTTGACCAAGGAGAAAACGAAGACATCATTTGTGGTGCCGAAGGCATTGCTTCATTGGGTGTCGCATAGTGAGTGGTTGAGAGGTCTTAGAAGAGGTGACGTGCTACTTAATTAAAATAATATAAGAGTCTAAGTCAATAGGAGAATTACTAGTTAATATAGTAAGAGATGTGGTTAAGAAGGTTTAAGGTGCTTTCATATAAACCTAACCATGAATGATTTGTATAGCAATTTACTTTGCTAAGGAAGCAAGATTTTGAAAAGAAAAAATGGATTCAACAAAAATAATATGACGTGATACAAAGATCTTATAAGTTTAAGGATTAAAGTATTAAAAAATATTATAACCAAGGGAGTACTCGATGAAGATGCATTGTTGAGATTTTTGTGTTAACTTGTGTATGCTAGTCGTCCTACAAGCCAATCATGTGAGTGATAACACATGTGACATACTATATAGTCTTTTTGTTTATTATTATTATTGATATTTTTTCACTTTATATTGCCTACTTGATATATTGTGATGTCCTTTGATTTGTGTAATGGAAATTGGATCATGATGAGATCATGATAATGAGACCAATTCGTCTATAAACACAGATCATAAATATTTCTAGTCATATATTATTCGAGAGGGGCATCGAGATAGTCGGATAGACTAATATACTATAGACTCGTCTATATGATGGAAATGATTAGTCTTATAGCTACTTGTGTGGGGACGCTAGGGATATAATGCAGGTGCTCATTGGAAAATGAGTTTACTGAATAATTCGTTCGCTAGATGGTTAATGATACCTTATCGTTAAATAGTAATTTCGTAGTCCCAATTATATGTATAGCCTTACACTTAAGATACCAAAAATATCTTATATGAATACTTCACTCTTTGATACCGGATTTATAGATCTAAAAATTCTAAATATAATACAGTTTGTCATTAGAGGTGATAACTAATGTAGCTCCAGTGGGAGTAACCGAGAGTGATCAAAGTCGTCCAGGATGAATATCAAGTACTATAACTGTGGATATCAAAAAAGTGAAAAGAATAAAAAGAATGTAGATAAAAAGAAAAGTACGAATCTAGATTCTAGCTTGTAGATGTCTAGCTAGTAGATTCAACGAAATCTTGGCACATGAATGATTCTATCAATATCAATCGGTCTCAGAAGGATCTATTTATTTGAATAATGATTACCGACATTAGTATCATATTAAAAATCTGTTATTGATTGGGTAGTTGGATGAACTTGGTACTGGATTCATATTAAAAATGTGACTATGAAGATTAGCTCACTGTTATGAAGACAAAGAAGATCCCAACTAATCTATACATCCTTTTGGAGAAATATTGTGGAAGACTGATACATCAATTATATCATTCGACTCCGGATATGAATCTACTACTGCATCACTGCGACATATGTATGAATGCTATAGACTCTTTAATACTACTACTACTACTACATGAATCGAAGGTGCTGATGGTGAGCTTCACGTCATACACACGTAGCGACCCGCAGCCATTCATGCTGTCGTTGGAAAGTGCAGTTGTGGCTTGGTGGTGCAGGGAGGGAGTGTGAGGGTTTCATGTTCCTGTATATCCAATTCTAAGGCCTCCTCTTGATCTAGTAAGATAGTGTTGTAATATTAGGTTGAGGTCGTCTACATCTCCTGCAATTGGACATTTCCCATAGCTCGCCAAGATGAAATATGAGTCTCACTGTAAATTATTATATCATCAATCCAACAACATTTTCTGCAGCCATTGGTTGCATAGTATAAATGATCTGATTGTGATCTATATCAGGTCCCACAGCACCATGGCAGACCCGATGGTGTGTCATAATATCGAGAGCAAGATAGTAGATATATTAATAAAAAAAATTAAATAGTGAACGGTCCAATAGTAAGTATAGTAACATCATATTAATATTAATACAAATAATATCAAGTCGATGTAATATTAAGTATAGTCAATGATCTATTATACAGTACGTTGCTTGTAGGCTCATTAATTAGAAGGTTCAATCATTTTCCCGAGGATTCAGCATTCAACACCGAGATCAGTTACCGATAGATGTCACCGACTGTCTGCTATTCAAGTGGCCTACGAAGGGACTTTCCGAAACATGCGTTCCTTTCTGTAGATACGGAAAACAAGGACGAAAGAACCAATCATCCTATAAAGCGTCGCGCCAACCCCGCCATATGGCTAGTCAAACACATATGTCAGCATCGGAAAAGGTATTGGATGGTCGCACTCCACGTTTTCTTCGAGCGGGAACTCACAAGGATAGGTTGGCATTGGAGCGATCAGTTTCTGCGATTGAAATATAACATTGTGTGGGATCAGGGAAGTGATGGTTGCTGGACGGTCTCGAGTGCATATTGAATCTGTGTTTTTTTTTTTAATCAAAGTTTTATTAAGAAAATTTTAATTTCTTGAATCATCCATAATATTATGCATGGTAGTTGAGCCCTCCTTAGGTCATTTTTATACGTATTTTTTTTACATGTGTTTAGAGATCTAAACGAAATAGTCAATTGATTGACTATATATCTTAATGAACGTGAGATTTATTTATTTTTTTTAAAGAGGGAAGTGATCATCTCGTTTAAAGCTATGTTACAAGGTATTTTTTATGACTTAATTACGAATTATCTTTTGTAGATAGATCTTCTAAGTATTTCGATCCGTAGACTTAAAAAATTTATATTAAAATCTATATTGTTATGAAAGTAAAATCTTTAGCTTCATTTATTCTAACATCGTCAATTTTACTAATGAAATACTGAAAATAATAGGTAAAAAGATATTTTTAATGTTCTAATTGATGATGGTATATGACGATATTACTAGGAATCATGGATGATTGTTGAGGATGAGAAAAGCAACGACGAGAGATGAGAGCTGCTCGGTAACCGCGTTGATGCTCGACAATTAGCAATGGCGAGAGGTGAGGGCCACTCGGCAATTACGTTGACACCGATATAATTGTTGAGCGGTCTTCATCTCTTGTCGTTGTTCTTCTTATTCACAATAGCTCTACCCATAGCTCCCAACAACATTGTAGTCTGCCACTAATAATTGAAACGTTAAAATTATTTTTTTACTCTTTATTTTGTACTTCTGTTAGTAAAATCTATGACGTTAAGATAAATGAAGCTAGATGTTTTACTTTTGTAAGGATTTGAATGTAAATTTTTTAGGTCTAATGACCAAGATGCTAGGGACATCTAATTATAAAGGATAATATGTAATTATGCTCTCTATGACTGAATAGATTCTTTTCAATTATATATATATATATATATATATATATATATAATATTGGAATGGATTAGAATAAGAAGTCTTCGTATAGAACATATGTCTTAAATTAATCCAAGGAATCCAAGGAAAAGTGTGAATGTTAAAAATCTCGAGTTACGAGGTTTTGTCTGAGGTCATTGTGTTGTTTATTTAGAGATATTTGCTCCTTTTGTTCATCTTACATTTAGTTTATCTCAAAATGATATAAGACTAGTAGGCAAAGTTTGTCACCTTTGGCAAGGTTATTTTATTAGCATCAAAAGGAGCTCAATCATGTGTTTTAATTTCTCTAGCTTATACTGTAGCGATAGGAATAATATTTATTATTATTAAGGCTCGACACGCGACAACTAAAGTAAGACTAATGAGACAAGCACTCGTTCGCTGGTTAGACCGACATAAACCTAACCCAATATAAAATTTTGAAGGAATATTTCATCTATATCATAAAATATTTTTTTATTAAGTCGAATATAAAATCTCATGTAATCGAGGTCAATTACTATTTTTTTCAAAATACTCGCTTTCAACTTCGTGGTTGATTAGATTGTTGGATCGGAGGAATAATGGTGGGATTTCGATCCGATCTTGATCTTCGTATCATTTGACATCCGATTATCAAGTATCCGAAACCTTTTCGATAATATTTAAATTTCTTATACATTTATTCGTCGACTAAGATATTATTGGGTTTGAACAAAAGTAAATTGATTTAGGCATCATCGACTTCTCTCACCATTGACTATTCATGATTCGCATTTACTCATCCCGATATCGATCCATTCAATAAGAAGTTTCTCAGTGTACACGACGGTCATGTTTGAGTCATCTGTCCAAATAAATCCTGAGTGGTGCATAGTGCTTGGTAGCTACTTGCATCGTATATTTTCCATTATTTCTATTCAAGTATTCATCCATGCGCATGTGTTTTACGATTAACAAAAGTCTTGTATAATTCTAATAATTAGGCAACTAATTAGTATTTTGTGGAAATCTCTCATCAACATGTTGACAATATTTGTTTGAATTGGTTGTGAAGATCGAGTTTTGCTTATTTTATAAATACGGTACGAAATGTTGTTTATTTGTGTCACGTTTTCTTATGCGCACCAAATCACATCATCCTAAATGTTTTCTTGAAATCGGCTTCCAATGCCCATATCGGCGACAATGCAACCATCATCTTTAAATTTTAGAGAACTCGACATGTTTTGCACATGTCAAAAACTTATAGCAAACATGTAACTATGTTTGGTTTAGATCAATATGACCCCACAAGAGGTACAATCCCACCTGTTTTGAATTCTCAATCTTTTCCTGTAAAATGATATAATTTGTTGAACATCAGTGAGTTTTTGTTATTTGATCCGAATCTCATAGTTGTTATTTGATCAAAAAAAAATGTCACGTATATATTATGACGATGTTTCACATAATATGATCCTGTGAGAGTTTGTAAAGTGCTCACCCGTGTTTTTTACAGATAAAATTACAATTTTATAATCAGTTCTTGCAGAACTTTGAAGTGATAAATTTACAATTTTGGTTATGGAATCATAAAGTTGTAATTTATTCGGTAAGAAATAAAATTTCCCTATATCTATAAAATAAACTAGTATGGCATGGTGAAGATGAGGATGAGGAAGAAGAGACCGGTGGTATGTGACCCTTTATGATATTAAAAAGAAGATTAACTTTTGCAGTTATTACATCATTCCATCATCATCATCAATACTTAGCCTTTGATTTTGGGATACAGCAGACGCATGAACAACAGTTAAAGCTTAAATGAGAGTTCATAGTTGCGGAACTATAAATTCGAAGCATACTTTTTGCTTCCAGCACTAATCTCTTTGGCAACCACCGGGAAATCAATGGCCAAGACCTTGTCAATGGCTGCACGGAATGCCTTCCCGTACTCCACATGGCTGGGGTGCTTTATGTAGACGGCAAGGTCTTCAGCGCTCCCAAAGCTCAACAGGAACGCATGTGTGAAGCCTTGGCCGAGCCTCTCGTCCTTGAGCACGTCCTCTCCCCTGAATAATTATTTCTGCCATCAGGAAAACAAGAGAGAGAGAGAGAGAGAGAGAGAGAGAGAGTTACCATTCGAAGGATTTGATAACGTCGATCTCCGAGACAAGATTCTGTAAGCCTTGCAGCAGCTCCTCCACCGCCGCTCCATCCTTGAACTTGGCGAGAACTAAATGCTTGATGTGTCCCATATGCTTTGCACTCTATGGATACTGAAGCGAGGGATGGAGGAACACGAAGAGGATTGCATGGGTATTTATAGGCGAGCCAAGGCTTATCTCTCGACCAAGACGGACCACCTTGGATATGAATCACCTCTACAATCGCGCTGGTCGCCAGTGGACCGCAAGTGGTCTGAAGCACTCAAGTTTTCTTCGATTCCTTTAATGGTGAAAGGGATACATGAATGAATCACGTGCATGATATTTGCAACTTGGCAATCAAACACTGCTCGTTACGTTTGCATGCCATTAATCCATCATAAAACTGCTCTACCGAGTCATTCATCTCTTGATGACATATAATTTGTCTCTCTAATATCGATACCCTTCCAAGAGAGAAGTTGGACGACAGCATTACGCAAAAATTCAAAGGGGACTAAAAGTTCAAATCAATAGGCCATAGAAGAGTCATATAATGTCCGCATATTGATGTGGTGGACGCCATGACGGATGATGTTGCACCTAATCCGTGTGACTCACGCCCTCTTGCGTTTCGTCTTGACCGCAATTTTGCGTACCACAGAGGATTATAATACCTAACCTACTGTGCTAACGATGTTACAGAATCCACATGAATTTAATGCTCTTCCTGACCTTTTCTCCGCAAGGCTCCCATTGTTACTTGTCCGATGAAACGATGAACTGTTGATCCTCAGCTATTTGCTTTCCGTTTCACACGTCTCGGAAGAATCTTTTTTTGAACTATAGGGCCATGCAATGAACTGTTCTTTGGCATGGAAACATGTGTATGTGATAAACGCGTTTTAGTCTAACATCAATTGTGAAATAGACAAACTATGAACTTATAAGAATAATATCTGATAAGGTCATTTAGTCTTACATTGATTGAGAAGTATGAGAATTAAGGACTCATAAGTTCGGCAGATCTCCCCTACTCTCAGAAGCACCTTTTGGAACTCATTTGCTTCGAAAGGATAAAATCGTGCGGGTATACCCTGATGGGATATAAAGTGTGAAATAAACTTTTATATATGAATAAATACTAGCAGACTATAATATGCAGTGGAATTAAATGAAAACACAATCAAATAGAACACTAAGATATACGTGGAAAACCTCTCAAATGTGAAGGATAAAAACCATGGGGTAAACTAGAGATAATCCACTATAATAATAATGAATATACAAATTTCAATCTCTTGCCTAAAACCTTAGCAACAATCACAAGAGAACAACTGGGATACAAGGATCACGTCACTGTGCATAATATCTAAATCCTCTATAATTCTCCCCAAGTAATCACAGTAAGAATCTACTGTAGATTTGATATAACCTGAGATGAAAGCACTGCTAGATTGCTAGATGATTGAAAGCAGTCTCTCTATGTTGTCCTTCTCTTCTTCCCTTTTTTTCTCTTCCATTTCTATCTTGTTCTCCTCATTTTCTTTGGAATCCTGTGGTTGCCAAAAACTACCTCGTTGTTGCCTTTTTTTGCCTCTTTTTATAGCCACCATACCCCCTAATATAAATTAGGGTTATGTTAAGAGGGGGTGAGCTGTGGGCTGATAAAGCCCACTTTGGGCTAAATATGGGTTATTAGCCCAACAACCTCTCCCTTCAGCCAATAAGGGAGGTTGTCCTATGACTCCTCAATGTGAAGCCATGTCGACTAACTGTCGGCATATCTCCTGACTTTTTTTTGATAAAGTCTTTGTCAACATGTTTGCTCTGTTGTCATCTATGTGAATTTTCTGAAGCTGCAACTGCTTCTCTTCAAATATATTTCGAATCCAGTGGTATCTGACATCTATATGTTTTGACTTGGAATGAAACATTGGGTTCTTACACAAATGGATGACACTCTAGCTATTACAATTCACCACATAGTTTTTCTGTATCACCCCCAATTCTTATAAGAATTATTTCATTCATAACATTTCTTTGCATACCTCTGTAGTAGCAATATATTATGCCTCTGTGGTGGAGAGAGCAATACACCTTTGTAATCTAGATTGCCATGACACAGCTCCCCCTGCAAAAGTAAGTACATAACCTGATGTAAACTTCCTTGTATCTATATCTCTTGTCATATCTGCATATGTATAACCTATCAACACAGGTGGTCCACCTCCAAAGCTTAAACAAACATTAGAGCTCTCTCTGATATATCTTAAAATCCACTTCACTATTGCATAGTGCTCTTTACTTGGATTTGCAAGAAATCTGCGAGTAACACCCACTACATATGCGATATCCGGCCTCGTGGATACCATCACGTACATTAAACTTCTAACTGCTGAAGCATAAGGAACCTTTTGCATCTTTTCCTTCTCCTCATTACTTGACAGACTCTGTTTTGAGCACAACTTGAAGTGACCTGCAAGAGGAGAACCAATTGGTTTTGCATTGCTCATAATGAATCTTTCCAATACCTTCTCGATGTACTTCTCCTATGATAATCAAATCTTCTTATTTTTCCAGTCATGAGAAATCTACATACCCAGTATTTGCTTTGCTGACCCCATATCCTTTATTGCAAAAGACTCACTTAATTTCTTCTTCAATATGTCAATTTTAGACATATCTTTCCTAAGAATAAGTATGTCATCAACATAAAGTAAGAGAATAATAAAATTTTCACCAAACCATTTAATGTACACACAATGATATGAAGCCGTTCTTTTATATCTATTTTCTGTCATAAATGAATTAAACTTTCTGTACCTCTTGGAGCTTGCTTTAGCCCATACAAGCTCTTGTTCAACTTACAAACAAAGTTCTCTTTACCTTTGACTTTGAAGCATTCTGGTTGATCCATATAAATTTCCTCCTCTAAATCACCATAAAAAAAACTGTTTTTATATTTAACTGCTCAACTTCCAAGTCCTGGCTAGCAGCAATACCAAGAGCAACACGAATAGAAGACATTTTAACAATAGGAGAAAAAAATCTCTTCAGAGTCAATACATTTCTTTTGACCAAAGCCTTTCACAACCAATCTAGCTTTGTACTTTGGTTGAGAACAATATTCTTGAGTCTTCAACTTAAAAACCCACTTGTTATTCAAGGCCTTCATTATATTTGGTAGTAGTACCAAATCATAAGTGCGGTTCTTCTGAAGAGCATCCATCTCTTCCTGCATAACAACTAACTATTTCTCTTTTTGCTCAGTTTCAACTGCTTCCTGGTAACTCTCTAGTTCACCTACATTAGTAAGCATCATATACTCATCTGTAGAGTATCTTCTTGAAGGTTGATATTGTCTAGAAGATCTTCTTAACTGAGGTTCTACGGGAAGTTGCTCTCCAACTTCTTCTTACTCAACATGTCCTGCAGGTAGATCAACATTAGGCTCTACACCATCTTCCTACACATCTCCCCTATCACCCTGATATACTAGAGGAGTAATCGAGTCACAATCTGCTAATCCTTCTGCAGAAGTCTTGGCCGGTATCTTCTTCTTCAAATCTTCAACTATTTGATCCTCAAAGAAGACTACATCTCTACTTCTGAACACTTTCTACTTTTCTGGATCCTAAAACCTATAACCAGACTAATCATGCGAGTAACCAAGAAAAATATATTCTTTAGTCTTACCATCCAGCTTGGATCTCTCATTGTCTGGAACATATGCAAATGCACGACAACCAAACACTCTCAAATGCCTGTAGGAAACATCTTTCCCTGACGATACATGATTTGCAACATCACCATCTAGGGCTATGCATGGTGACAAGTTGATCACATCAACTGCAGTCCTCAAAGCCTCATCTCAAAACCTTTTAGGTAGCTTGGTCTGTGAAAGCATATATCTGATCTTTTCCATGATGGTGCAGTTCATCCTCTCTGCAATTGCATTATGCTGAGATGTACCAGGAATTGTCATCTCATGTTAGATCCCATGTGACTTGTAATAATTATCAAATAATCATGTGTACTCACCACCATTATTTGATCTTATGCATTTCAATTGCCTTTCTGTCTCTCTTTCAACCATAGCATGAAACTCTTTGAAGACATTAATCACATGATCTTTGGTCTTCAAAGCATAGGCCTAAACTTTCCTGAAAAAATCATCTATAAAAGTGATAAAATAAAGCGCACAACTTATACTAGGAACATCAACAGATCTATTAGGAGTTTTTATCCTCAAAGGATCACATACATCTGTATAAACACCGTATAAGACATGCATTTTTCTAGACAAAGTAGGACTAGCAAATGAAACTCTATGTTTTTTACCAACCAAACAATCAATACAAGGGTTCAAATGTGTACTCTAAGGTCTAGCAATACCTCTCTCTTGGAAAGAGCTTGCATCCCCTTCTCGCTCATGTGTCCCAGTCGCCTATGCCACAATTTCATGCCGAAGTCTTTCTCCATAGCATTTAACTGTTCACCATAAACTTTAGCCTGCAACCTGTATAAAGTATGACATTTTTTTCCACTAGCTATAACAAGAGAACCCTTACTGAGCTTTTATTGCCCTTTGTAAAATCTGCTATCATAGTCTTCATCATCTAGCCTTTCAACTGAAATTAAATTCAGCCTCAAGTCAACTATATGACTCATATTCTTAAGCACCAACTTATAGCCAAGGTTGGTCTTTAAATAGATATCACCCATGCCAATAATGTCTGCTGTGCCATAGTTGCCCATCTTGACAATACCAAAATTTCCGAACTTGTATATAGCAAAAAGCTTCCTCCATGATGTAGCATGATAAGAAGCACCTGTGTCAATCACCCACTCAAGATCCTGATACACACAAGAAAAAATATCATCAATTGTAGTATTATCCTTTGACTTTGTAGACTTTATTTCTTTTCCCTTTTTCTTGCTCTTCTTATGTTGCTTACATTGGTTCTTGTAATGTCCTTTCTCACCACAGTTATAGCAAACAATATATTTTCTTGATCTTGACTTGCTCATACTCATGCATGAATTGCTTCTAGACTTTGACCTTCCTCTGTTCTCTAAGATAAGTGCTTGTGAATCATTCTGAGATGTTACTGAATTCTTTCTTCTCAACTCCTTATTCAACAAGCTACTTGTTACTTCACTCATGGTGATAATACCATATGGCATAGAATTACTAAGGGAAACCACCAGTGTCTCCCAACTTTCTAGTAATGAACTGAGAAGTAACAATGTCTGCAACTCATCATCAAGAGATATTTTCATACAGGATAATTGATTAGTAATACTCTGTATTTCATTCAAATGCTCAACAATAGAAGCACCCTCTCTATATTTTAGGTTTATAAGTTTTCTGATAAAAAAAGCTTTGTTACATGTTTTTCTTTAATAGAGACCTTCCAATTTTTTCCAAAGAGAATATGCAGAACTTTCAGTAGAAACATGGTGAAAGACACTATCATCAAGCAACTGTCGAATAAACCCAACTATATTTTGATCTAACCTCTTTAACTCATCATTTGTCATAGTTGTGGGTTTTGCACTATCCCCTACAAATGTCAATATAAATCTTTGCAATACAAGAGATTTTTCATTCTTAGTTTCCATATCATCCAATTATTTTTATTTAAACTAATCATGCGAGAAACATTACTAACCTCTATGTTCAAATATAAAAATTAAATGTTTCATGCGAGAAACATTACTGTCGATACTAGTTGATGGGATATAAAGTGAAATAAACTTTTGTATATAAACAAATACTAGCAAGCTATAACATGCAGCGGAATTAAATGAAATCACAATCAAATAGAACACCAAGATATACGTGGAAAACCCCTCCAATGTGAAGGGTAAAAACCACGGGACAAACTAGAGATAATCCACTATATGAATAATGAATATACAAATCTCTATCTCTTGCCTAAAACCCTAGCAACAATCACAAGAGAATAACTGAGATACAAGGATTACATCACTGTGCACAATATCTAAATCCTCCCTAAGTAATCACAGTATGAATCTACTGTAGATTTGATCTAACCTGAGATGAAAGCACTACTAGATGATTGAGAACATTTTTCTGTGTTATCCTTGTCTTCTTCCTTTTCTTTCTCTTTCTTTTCTGCCTTGTTCTCCTCCTTTTCTTTAGAATCCCATGATTGCCAAAAACTACCTCGTTGCTATCTTTTTCTGCCTTTTTTTATAGTTACCACACCCTTCCAATATAAATTAGGATTAGGTTAAGAGGGGGTGATTTGTGGGCTGATAAATCCCACCTTGGGTTGAATATGGGCTGTCAGCCAATACTCATCATCTAAAGCGGACAATTCCTCACGCGCCTATTGACCGCACCAATAATTAACTGACAAAATTATCCCTTATCAATATCATAAGGTAAAATCTTAGGCCCATCCAAAACAAATACTTGACTTATTGGAATACTAATAAGCTTATTTAGTTTCACGTTGTTTGGAAGAAAAAAAAGTTAAGATTGAGTAACATCATATGATACCCACCGAAAGCAAATTACTCACGATTTCGTATGATCGCGTTGATATCTATTTGTCATCTAACGAAATTTGTAGAACTTGATTACGTCAATTTAAGTCAAATTTATTGGGTTTAAGCTTGTGGAAAACGTGGAGAGCGACTTGCCTCGACTCGAGGCAAGTCAAATATATTCGGTATCTCTTTGGTGTCCATATCTGTTTGACTTCTGACACGGGAATGCAGCTGTCTACTGTTGATAGGGTTATTAGTTTCTTCTTCTTCTTTTTTTCTGTATGATAAGGAAAGTTGATACATATGACAACTCTCCCTTCATGGCCTCTCAAATCGTGTGAGTCTAATACTGATTTCCATGTCCAATGAACAGCCTACAAAAATCTAAAAGTTGATATCAATCTTGTGTCTGCTCGTCACAACTTCAATGCTTTCCTTTTCCTTTCTTTGATACAATTGTGAATCATAAACTCTTTAAAAAAAGATTTAATATTTCTCCATAACTCCTTATCTATGTTTACGAAAAAGATCAAATTATTCGCCGTATGAAAGACTTATTTTAAATTATCACACTTTGGCATAATCCCTTTTTACGTTTCATAAATCATAAAAAAATTTCTTATATATTTTCTCTTACCCTCTCTAAACATTTTAGGACGAAACTCGAGAGCACCCAAATATTTCTCATATCTCTCTCCCATCAAAACTAAAAATACATATAATATTTATAGAATAGCCAAACCATGATTACTATAGTTTTCTCTCTTCACGAGGAATCATAAACTCTTTTAAAAAAAATTAATATTACTCGATAACTCCTTATCTACGAAAAAGATCGAATTATTCATATCAATTACAAGACTTACTTTAAATTATCGCACTTAGGCATAATCCCTTTTTACACTTCACAAATCATGAAAATTTTACTTATTATTTTCTCTTAGAGAGGCATTATTGCCTCTTAGAGAGGCACCCAAATACTCCTCGCATCTCTCCCCCATCAAAACTAAAGATACATATAATATTTATAGAATAGTTGATTACTATAGGAGGATTAATTCTCATATTAGAATTTTTTATTCTTCTAGGACACCCATTTCAAAAATCTCAAAATAATTATCAATCTCAGAACTAAACACATCTCTAAGATTTTTAATTTATTCAATAGATATTCTTACGCTACATGCACACGTAAACATTTGAGTAACACCATTAATAATACTTTGATTCTCTCTCTTCCATTTATTGGCATGAGACAGTAGACTACGTAGTCGCACAAAGTGTAGTACATGATTGCTACAGTGGCATCGTTGAGAGCTTCCGGTCAATTAAAACGTGGAGTGAAAACTTCGTCCGCTTCGGTCAATTAGTCCCTTTTTGTGGTTCATGCCGGACCTGTTTTGACTTCGCGTATGGCCGGCATGGCTGTTATGGGAGATCGGCCTCTTCGTCGTTGGCTTCTATACCTAATGCCGGTGGTGACCACCGATCGAAAGAGACGCATGAGAAGGGAAGTCCCTCCGTGGCCACTCATATAGTAAACGATAGGATACGCTTCCGGAAACTGATCTCCGTGTCGATGAAGATGTCGAAGCTGTCCTTTTATCAGAACTCCATGGCTCACTTTTTCCCGATCACACAATGTTTGCACGTGATATGAAGATCCTTTCGTCACCACTCATCGCCGTAATTCGAATAGACAGAAAATTATTGATATAGAAGCTGAGATAATGGTGGTTTTTGATTTATTTTATTAGAACTTCAAAGTTTTCTTTTTATTTCTTCGTCCCTTTTGATGTGTAGATAGTGACTTTTAGCGATTGAGGATGAATCATGGCATAGAGAGAGAAAGAAAAAGTAAGAGATAATATAAATATGTAGCCTTTAACTAAAGATTCTATAGTGGGATTAGGTATGGTTTGCATCATGACACTTTCTAAGAGATAATATAAACTTACTTCATACAAGACAACTTCTATGGCCTTTCATGTTTGGCATAAATGGATCTCGTTCTTTACTAGCTTATGATCTGCATCGCTTGCTTTCTAATTTATTTATGTTGGAGGACATTAAAGAATTCAGGCTTGAGGGCTCCTTTTTCACTTGTCCACGGCAAATGAACTTAGAAAATATCATATCCACACTACACGTGTTATACATTGCCAATGTGTTTTTGTGGCCATTTCTGATATCCGAGTATACATTGCTATTGTAACTCTTTATATTCGAAAGCTATTTAGTTTTCTCGAGTATAGAATAATGAGATTTACTGTGTGATGACATATATTTATCATCTCAATTTTTTGGAAAACAAATTTTGATATTTATTTTTGTTAGGAAATGATGGTTATGGAGAGACCCTTTACATCTTTCTTTTTTGAAGGTATCTTCCACAGAAAAATAAAATAAATTCTTCTTAGAATCATCCATCACTCTTATCTTTTTTTTTTCTATATCAATTATCTTACCTTAGAATTGGGTTCAAAAATCCCCTCACCTCTTTTTTATCTGAAAAAATCGGTTAACATTAGCATATATGAGATAGAATTTAAAATTGAAACTATTAAATTATTGATTATTCGACTCTCTTAATTCCTTTTTTTATAGTAAAATATAGGAAAAAGATATGTCTATCGTGTTGAATGGATAAAAGGCAGCAGCAGCAGACACACAGTGAGCGTCGGCCCCCTCTGTCAGGCAGAATAGTCGGTAATGGCACCGCTACAATCCATATTGTAGCTGCAGGCATTATTATGAGAAGCATGATTGGCTCCTTTATTCAACATCGCCCGCTTTCTGGCTTCTCAAAGTCTCCTGTTCTTCGTACCAACGCATCCCCACCAGCTTGTAGTCGGAAGGCACGAGGGGCATTCCGGAAGCTGTGGCCAGCGACCTTCCACGGTGATCCCTATAGCCCTCTCCTTGCTTATAAATACCACTGCCATCCTCCCAGTCTTCCCCATCCCTCGCTCCAAGTATCCATAGAACACAATAACATATGGGGAGCATTAGGCATCTCGTTCTGGCCAAGTTCAAGGACGAGGCAGCGGTGGAGGAGCTGCTGCAAGGTTTGCAGAAACTCGTCTCGGAGATAGACGTCGTCAAATCCTTTGAATGGTAAGGAACTTATCCATAAATGCATTCCTCGTCTGTGCTATGTGTGTCTTAGTTAGGAGTTGCATGCATCGTTTATCACATCGGTACCTGACAATTCTTCAGGGGAGAGGACGTGCTCAAGGACGAGAGGCTCGGCCAAGGCTTCACTCATGCGTTCCTCCTGACCTTCGGGAGTGCCGAAGACCTTGCCACCTACATAAAGCACCCCAGCCATGTGGCATTCGGGAAGGCATTCCGTGCAGCCATTGACAAGATCCTGGCCATTGATTTCCCGGTGGTCACCAACGAGATTAGTGCTTGAAGCCATAACTATGCCATGATTAGTTCGCAAGCATATGTCTACGTTGTCTCGAGTATTATTGTTGTCCCTGCCGTGTGTCAAAGGCTACGTATTGATAACGATGAAGTTATGTAGTAAACCGTAAAGTTAATACAAAATAAAACCTACCATTGTCGTATAATATTGCTTTTACCAAAACATATGATCATGCGAGGATTAATTAAATCCTGTAATAGTTTGAAGTCATTGAAGTTGAAATCAGATATTACATGTATAACTATGCACTATGGATCTAATAAATAAAGATAAATCGTATCCAATATATTTCTTATGCTTCCAATGGGCAGATGAGGGTTCATGCTGAGATCCAAATGGATTCGTCAATAGTGTACAAATAAGAGTTATAGAACTGAAGAGGGACCATATTGAGACTAAGCCGCATGCGGAGAATGTGCTATATGTCATTGGCACGTGTAAAACATGTTAAATTACTCTTCAGACTCGAGATGGTATATGTCACATGTCAAATTCCATCAACTCAAGTAAATGAATCTTATAAGTAGAGCTTTGTACCGTTGGTTGTTCAACAATCATACGCATGATATGCAATCAATAAAATACATGATAATACATGAACTTGATGCTTTGTTGAAAAACATTTCCATGATTTCATAGTGAGATTTACTTATTCTCTCACCATCAATTAATGGTTAGAATTAAAAATATTATTTTAATGATACCAAAAGTGAAACAGTTCATAGACTTTATGATTAGCCTTCTCTTCGAAGAGAACTTTCAACTTCTCTTTTATAAGCTATGATTGATTTCTTTATTATTTTAAAAAAATTATATCGGAAGTACTCGTCGTTACTTTTACTATCTTCTTACCTTTCTTCTTGGAGTTCTAAAGAAAATCAATATTTCGTAACCTAATGTGTTAGCTTATTCTCTTTCCGATAATTGTGTGAACACTAAAGAAATCAAAGTAATAAAAAATATTTCTACGCATGCTCAGTTCACAATATAACTCAGTAGTAGAAATGATTAAGAGTATGTCGATGCTCGTAGCATTGCAAGTCTTCTAATCCAGAATGGGAAGATTAGAACCATTTATTTCTGGCTCTTCTTTTCTTCCAAAGAGGTGGAGTTGTAAAGGTAACGTTGTTTGCGAAAGGCATGCACGACAGATTCGAGAGGCATCATTGCATTTTCCAAAGAAGACTTCGCAAGGATAGGGACGAGTTAGATTTGGAAAGACTGTGGAACGCCGCTACATGTCCTATTCAAAATGATCAATGAGTCGTTGATGTATTCTTCTTTGTATCTTTTGAGTGCAACTTTAGATAACGCTGCACGTATGAGAAGGATGGGAAGAAATGTACAGTACTAGTTTTCATTTTGTCCATTGAAGCTGAACAGTTTGGTGGATCTCTATTTTTCTTTTGTTTTTTTTAAATAAATATTAAAGATCAATGATTCAAGCTCGATGGATTTATTAATTTAATTATCCTATCAAATCTGATAATTAATAATGAAATAGACTAGAAAGGACTTCTCTATTTGTGGATGAGGGCTGGATAGCATTTCATTCATGACTTCTATTTCCACCCACAAAACAAATTGTGCATCTCTCCTCAAGAAAAACATGTGGTGCGACCTTTTTATCTACTTCAACGATTCACTTGCATTTTTGTGCCGCATCTTTCCGAGGCTCGAGATGGCCGGGCCGGTTGGTGTTCGATAGATTGATGGGTCTCCTCGTTGTTGCTTCTGACCACCAACAGAAGGGAACACACGACAGGGAAAGTCCCTTCGTGGCCTCTCGAGTCGTCAAAAGTTGGCTTATGGCTGCTGGAGACTGATCTCCATGTCGAATGAACAGACAAGAGATAAGTTAAAAGCTAACGTCAAAGTTGTCTATTTCTCTTGACTTACAATGCTCCTTTCTTTTTCTGTTTCTGATGGCATGATGTTATACATGATATGGAAAGTTCTTTATGGCCAGTCAAATTGTAAAGGATAATTTACTAAAAAGTCTTTGTCGTTAGTTTCAATCTTTCAGCGTCTTATATGTTATTTAATATTATTTTTTTAATTCTAAAAATATTTATTTTCAAAAAAAATACTGGAAAAAAAACCCAGATACTTTCACTTTCTCACAGTAACCATAGATCACTCGTTTGATTTAAGAAAGATCTTTTGCCCTTAGATTGTGGCCGGTCCAAGTTTATAATTATATTTTGGTCCAATTCAGTTCTCGTCGATTTGTATGATATTTTCATATACTTTATTCTCAAAATTGTTTCCCATGTTTTCCATCCAATTTTCTTTATCCTATTGTTTATAAGATATTAAGGTTATCTGTCCTTGATATATCAGTGGAGTAAAATTTCTATCTCTGCACTTAATCTCCCATAAATGGTATGTGATGTCACGTTATATGATCTCATATAAGACTAAATCAAATTGATCATCATGAGATCTTTAATGACCTATAAAATGAATCTAAAACATGATAATAATATTATTCAAATAGAAGTGAAGATGTCCACCTTCTCTACATTACAGAACCAGGCAAAACCTCAATAGTCTACATTAATATGTACAGTATATTACTATGCTTTGACTAATTTTACACAGGTCAATTTGGTGCCACTCGGAACATCACCCAGCGTGCAGATCCTTTTGCGTTTCACATGCGTAAAACTCTTCTCCACTCTTGATAGAATAAAAGAATCCTTTAAACTGATGACTTGCTTTGCTGAGATTCAAGTGATAGCAAAAGGCAAACTGCACAACTCGAGGAAATTAAGACTGTGCCAGAAGAGGTGCTTCTACAGTTTCATCCCCGCACTGGCTAGTCTCATGTTCAGGTGGTTTATCTGGATTCTCCGAGTTAAGCAGACAAGCATGGGCCAATGAGATGATCTACATACAAATGCAACTTTAGATCAGAATGCAAGTCTACAGTGTCGGTGCATACCTGAAATTTCTGTTGGGATGTTGAATCTGTGGAATTACAAGTGGAAATGTGTGTGCAGCAAAGGGAGATACAACATACCAAAGAAACTGAGGCAACCAGAATGCTGAAACCTTTGCAATTAAAAGGGGCCTTGCCCGAAATGAACAGAGCTGAATTCGAAAATTTTGCAGAGATAAAAATGTTAGATGTTAGAAATGCAACTCTGCAGTCTTACAAATCTGAGAGAAATATTCTACTTACATGTTAGTGGACTCATTACAAGAGGTGATAGAAAGCTTGCAACTGACTGCACACCTGCAATAAGTCCTTGTGCCTTCCCCTGTAAATGAACCAAATTCCGCACTCAATCATGGACAACTAAATACTTGGACTGCAGGCAGTCCTTCTGTTCCCAATCAAACGTATAGCTTTATTTCTCATACAAAGAGATGGAGTGCTCCATTCACAATGAATTTGTCAACAGGTCATAGCTTAAATCATGGTTTCAAATACTTATCGAACTAATGGACACAACCGGTATCACTCGGTAAACAATTAATGTTTATTCTATAATTGTTTTTGCAAGTAATACCGGATGTTATGGTTTGGCATATAACAACATAGATGGGTAAGCCCAATTAACACCCCCGAACATAGCTTCCAACTTTCTTTGTCCTCTCTCCAAAGAGGGGTGTGTAGGCCAGCTCCCTTGGGATTTTACGTGATTAACTACCTGGTTTAAATTATTTAAAAATCAATAATAAAAATTACTTTCAAACAATTTGGGAACAACAAACTGGGCAAGAAAGACGCTAGCCCTGTGATTCTTAGATCAGCTAACCTTGATCACCGTTGACCAAGTTTGATCCTGATCCTCTCCCAGTTTTTCAGAGTCTCATCAGGCCTGACCAGAAATTGGCTGAAATCTACTGATGCCAGTCCAAACTGACTGAGCCCTGCTGTTACCAACTGACACTTCTGACTGATCCTGACAATTCAGCTAATTCCTAACTAATTGGGCAAAATTTGGCGAACTGTGATCTGGATTCTGTTCCTTACCTTGTGAACCTTGTATAGTATAGTTGCTAAGAATTGAAAAAGAATTTTCTTTTTTTTTTTATAAATGAGAAAGCCTCATATTAAACAGATTTTTTGTTATGTAAAAAAGCTAATTAGATTGATGTTAGATCTATAAGTTGAATGAGCACAACTTTTCTTTTGCTTTGGAATATCTACCTAACCATGCACCTATTTCACATAAAGGAACTCCATGATATAAAAATTTTCAGTACTTGGCAAAGAAACCAGTTGATAAATTTATTTGGCATTTCCTTATGAACAGACATTTGCATTTTGCAATATTGTTAGAATATTTTCTTAAAAACCAAAGTTTTAGCAATATACCTGATCACTTGAAATAGCTGCTTTTGAGATGATGGCGTATGTCTGCCAATGATGATATCTTAGCTTAGAATGTATAAGGTCACAAATATAAAACTATCCAAGCAGTGAAGAAAAACAATTTTTACAAATAAATTTAATTAACAAATCTAAAGGTATAGTCATTAAATGTAAAGTTCTATGTATATTTAACATTTCAGTAAGACAAATTACAGAAACAAATTTTCTGAAAGTCGAGATGCTTACTGATGGTTTAACAAGGACATAGATGACTCCAAATGAAGCACTAAGATAAGGAACCTGTAGAAGTTATGTAATCAGAGCTAGAGATATCTTAAACAACATGCAAATCACTTCATCTGCTAAATAGTTCTCTGCTTGAGTGGTATTTGGCTGTGTAACAAAAACTGATAAAGGACACATAACTCAACATAAAGTATGGATAAAAATCATACCCAAGGCGCCCATGCCAAGCCATAAAGCATACCCTGTAAGAGAAAGATACATTAGGAATATGTAAACTAAAACAAATTCCAAAAGTTCAAAGAAGATTAAGACTAACATAAGCAATTGAAGCACCCAAAGCAATTAGAAGTACACCCTTTTCTCCCATAAGAGGATTGATAAGTGGAAGAACCAAGATCTACAAACAAAAGAGTCAAATCAGCAACTTCAAGCACAACATAAAAAATGATAAATTAATACATGATTACGTCTGGTTGCATTAGTAGCTGACTCAGTAGGAAATGTTTTCAGGAACTTGCAACCTATCACAAATAAATCGTTTTGGCATTGAACACATCAATCACTTGAAAATA